TATATAAAATATATTTTAATATATAAAAGTCATATAATTATATAAAATATATAATTTTTATTACAAGTAAGTATAAATATATGAATTTACAAATAAATAAATATATAAGGTATATAAAGAGGGAAGGAGGAAAGGAGGGGGGAAGGGGAGGGGGTCTCCTGACTGCGAGACTCCCAAGTCTGAATTCTGCAGAGCAGGCTGGCAGGCTGGAGACCCGGGGGGAGCCGGTGTTGCAGTCTTGAGCTCCACATCGGCAGGGCAGCAGGCTGAGAGTTTTTATAACTCAGGCTATGATCTTGAGACAGACTGCCCTTTTCTCCAGGAAATCTCAGGCTCTTCGGGCCTTCAGCTGATTGGATAAGGCCCACCCACACCATGGAAGGTGATCTACTTCCTCAGAGTCATTTGATTGTGGATCTCAAAAAATAACCTTCATGGCAATGTCTATCCTAACACTAGAGCACATTACTGGGGGCACAGCCTGGTGGGGTAACCAACACACAGGTGACACACTCACCACACGTGGGCAGTGGATCCTCGTAGGCCCTGTCCTTGCCTTTGCAGTGTGTGGACACTGGGAGAGGCAGCTGCACCCAGCGCTGGCCCTGGACAGCCAGTCCTTTCATCAGGCCGGGAGGACAGGTGCTTCCTTTCTCTTACTGCATGAAAAGAGCTTTACACGTTTGTCCTTTCTGAACATTCCTGGGAATACTGTTTCCACGGGCTGTTCTCTGACCAGGCTCACCATCAGTTCAGAGGCAGAGAGGTGGGAATGTTCTAGATTTGGCCCGTGACGGTACACTCAAGTCGAAACACATCCAATTCTAGGAAAGAGACCACAGAGGTTGTATTTATAGCACCATGGTGGAACTTGAGAGCATGGTAAAAGGATTTTATTTCTACAAAATCTCTCAAGGGATGTGTGGTGCAGCTCGGCCTAGACTGGGCTCCTCTGTGCCATTTCTGCTCTGCCCTCACTTCCTCCCCAATCCTGTCTCTGGTTCTGTGATCAGAGTTCTTTATCTTCCTCATGTGGTCATGTCAGTGTTTTTGTGAAGTCCTGTCCAGTGGGTGATCCAGACCTTGCAGGGAGTTTAAAAGCTCCTTTGGGGCACCTGTTTAAAAGCTCCTTTGGTGGCTCAGTTGGTCAAGCATCCAACTTTTGGTTTCTGCTCAGGCCATGACCTCAGAGTCCTGGGATCAAGTCCCACATTCAGCTCCACACTCAGTGTGGAGTCTGCTGGAGTTTCTCTCTCTCTTCCTCTGCCCGTCCCCCAAAGTTTCTCCTTTTGTGTTTGTGTCTTATGTTTCCTGGCAGACCATACTGTTCAACTGAATGGAAACCAGCAGTTTTCTGATTCTCACGTTAATAAGTGGCTTTTTATTTCCCACTTGCACCAAGCGAGGTGATGACCTTCAGGCCTGGCCACATAGTCCATTCTCCAGGAAGCTTCTCAAGTGATACTGGCACGGATGCCCCTGTCACATCCTGGTTCATGTGCTCTAGGGTGGGGGTCTGGGCATTACTGTTATTTTGGAAATAGTGAAACACAACATGCACATGTTTGGAATGTGCTGCCAGCCTTGTGATTTCCGATGGCCACACCATCCATGTGTTATTGTAGACTGTTCAAGTGGAAATGACACCATGCTTGGGGGTAAAGGTCGGTGGTCCTGGGCAGCCCGGGTGGCTCAGCAGTTTAGCAGCACCTTCGGCCCAGGGCCTGATCCTGGAGACCTGGGACCAAGTCCCACATCGGACTCCCTGCAAGGAGCCTGCTTCTACCTCTGCCTGTGTCTCTGCCTCTCTCTGTCTGTGTCTCTCATGAATGAATAAATAAAATCTTTAAAAAAAATTTTTTTTTTTAAAAAAAAGGTCGGTGGTCCTCTGGCTGAGGATGGCTGAGAATGAAGGGGGAGGCAAGCCAGCAGTTTATTTCTGGTCGTCTGGCAGCTGCCTGGAGTCGCTGTGGTCTGCTGCCTTGTGTTCCACACCCCACCCCATGCCGGCTGCTGGGTGTTCTCAGTGCCACTGATGCAGCGCGGCAGCTATGAGACGTGCCCCGAAAGTGGGGAGAAGGCCATTCTCTGAAAGTAAGACAGACGGAGTGGATTGGTCAGTGGCAAGAGTGGCCAACAGGCCCCAGGACACACAGTGTGTAGACGTGCTGATGAAAGCCCAGGACATGGGGTCCTGAGAAGGTGTTCATCCTCGGACTGGGGAGGAGTCTGACTCACTGCTTATGTAACAAGCTTACCCAGCTCTGTTACTTGTACTTTCATGGCCTCCCTCTGGTGAAATGGTCCACAATTTGGCCCCTGGGATGGAGTCTCAGAGTTACTTGCCCGAGTCACACTGGAGATTTGAACGCAGAGTCTGTGCCCAGAGTCAGGGCTCTCCCATTGGTGGTTCGACCACTGACTGCGTGGTGCTTGGGCCAGGGTCCCAGTGCTAGCCTCCATCCCTCCTGTGTCTCTGGGCCCCTTGCTGGGCCTTCTGGTCTCAGGTCCTCCCTCTGTCCAATGTGGGAAGGGGCAGGCCCCCTTTGTGTGGTTGCTGGGGAGGCTGTGTGCATGTGTCCACTGTCCTCATGCTGACCCAGCCTCTCCCGGTCACTGGCCTAAGTGCTCCTCTGGCTCTCTCCTCCCCCACCCCCACCCCCAGGCCCGGCTACCACCATTCCAGTCTTTGTGTCTCCTATGTGGCTATTTTAGATGCCTCAGATAAGTGGCATCCTGCACGATTTGTTCCCCGTGACTGGCTTATTGGCACGTCTGTGTTCCTCGAAGCATTATTCATAGTGGCCAAGGTATGGGAACACCCTAAATGTCCTTTGACAGATGAGTGGATAAAGAAAGTGTGTCACATGCATACAGTGGGAGATTATTCAGTCTTAGAAAGAGGTCCTACAAATGTGAGTATGTGGGCAAAGCTCAGTGAAACGGGTCACTTCTTGATTTGCTTCCTGGACAAGCTAGAATTCCCGGACAATCACACATGCTTCTGATCTGCAGGCCTGCGGATCACCCACGACTGGGGGGAGCCCAGGTGGCTTCCTGGAGGCGGAGGACCCCGGGTCCCTCCCCTGGACTCCTGCCCCCGGGTCACTAGCAGGCCACACAGCAGGGACACACCAAGCCCAGCAGCCTGGCTGCGGTCACCTGGCCTCGGTTTGGCACCTGCCAACCCTCAGATGCATTTATTAAACTTGAAACAGCTCATGATTTTTCTCCTGGGCCTCTGAGGCCCAGTGCGGGTCAGCCTGGTGCCCTGGCACCCCCAGAATTGGACCACAAGGCTGCTGAGATCCTCAGTGAGGCCAGGGAGTGCAGACGACCAGAATTCCCGGGGCTTCGGCTTTGAGTCCGTGTGTGGCGCCTGAGGCTGGGATTCTTCACTTCCTACTTCTTTAGTTACTAGGACTTTTTTCTTGTTGTATCAATATATGTACTTTTTTAGTTTCTGAAAGGCAAATCAGACATTTTTATCTGGACAGGAAGAGTATGTGGGCATGGGCTTGCACACAGTAGCCGGTTTGTCTTCAGTGAACCGTGGGGCCGCCTTGCCAGCGCTCCCCGGGGATGGCTGGAATGCCGCTTCTCCTTCTGCCCTCACTGCCTCAGGAACGCGAGGCGGGAGGCCGGAAGCAAGTTTCCTCTTGGAAAACCTCATCATGCCCAGATCGCTCGCTTGAGAGAGAGCGCTGGAGATAGATGAGGGTCCGACAGAAGAGGCCTAGCTCATGGCTTTTGGTGGGGACGCGTGTCACAGCTAATGCTTGCTGTTGCCAGTTCTTAAATTCGTTTTTAGAGACTTCTTGACCATTGCCTCCCAGGGTGGGTCCAGAAACCCACGGGGGAGCGCTGCTGCCTTTCTGCCTGTTGGCACGCATGCAATGGATGTGAACTTGTAATGAAGTGATTCGTCCCAGGACTGCCCTGCTGGTGGTGTGGAAGGGCAGGATTGCCGTTCTGGGGGTGCTGAGCCCCACAGCGCACGCTGCTGGTCAGCAGGTGGCCCTCGGATACTTGCACTCAGGCACTACATGTTCAGCACCTCAGCAGGCGGAGCCCCTGCCAGACCTGGTGCAGGCGGCACCTTCTCAGCTCCCCTTCTCCTCCACATCGTTTGGGGAAACACCTGTGGCTTTGTTGGACATGCAGGGCACCCTGGCTTTGGGTCTGGCTCCGTGCAAGGGGGAAGTCAGCTGTCAGGGTAGGATCAGGCCATCTTTCTCAGCAAACCGCTCTCCCCAGGGCCTGGCACGAGGGCCGCCAGCCAGCTCCAAAAAGAGGCAGCACAGCCTGGCTTACGTCAGGGCTGTTGCAGAATGATTGGGAGTTGAGGTAGAAATTGCTTGTGTTTCTTTAGTCATTTGGCTGAAAACTGGTTTATTGGCAAAGGACACACATTTTAAATAAATATATGTGTGTAGGTAACATGCGTTTGGTTCGTGCTCCTAAGATCCACAGACCAAAGGTTCTTCGTTTCTTTTTCATCAGGGATCCCTTTCTACCCAAGTAGTATGAGCCCATGACCCTTTCTCTGAATACTGGATTGGTCGACTTTTTTTTTTAAAAGAACTTATTTGAGAGAGAGCAACAGTGAGAGAGATCACAGAGACAGAGACAGAGGGAGAAGCAGACTCCCTGCTGAGCAGGGAGCCTGACATGGGGTTGAATCCCAGGACCCTGAGATCATGACCTGAGCTGAAGGCAGATGCTTCATCAACAGAGCCCCGCAGGCGCCCCTGAATATTGGGTTTACTTGGAAACCAGGCAGTTATGCGGTCTCCCAGAGCAGATGGGTGCTGCCCGTGGGTCCCGTGGGGTCTGGGCCACTCCTTTGTGCATGCTAGTGTCTCCCTCAGGCCTGGCTCCAGCCACACCTGCACTTGGGGGCCGGTTCCGCTGTCTCTGGGGTTGCCAGGTGGTGTGGTCGGTGGGCGTGTCCTCGGAGGAGGGATAACCTGCATCTTTCTTTCCCTCTTCCCGGCCAGGGCGGGAGCAGTTCCACGGCCTGGGCTCCATGTACTGCCGGGGCGCGGCTGCCGTCATCCTCACCTACGATGTGAACCACCCGCAGAGCCTAGTGGAGCTGGAGGACCGGTTCCTGGGCCTCACAGACACCGCCAACACTGACTGCCTCTTCGCCATTGTGGGGAACAAGGTGGACCTCCTCGAGGACGGGACCGCAGACAGCCAGGAGAAGGAAGGGCTTGGCCCCGGGGTGGCTGGGGGTGGCAGCAGCGGATCGCCCAAAGTGCCCAAGCAGGTGCAGCCAGAGGACGCGGTGGCTTTTTATAAAAAGATACTGAAGTACAAGATGCTGGACGAGAAGGACGTGCCAGCAGCTGAGCAGATGTGCTTCGAGACCAGTGCAAAAACTGGGTACAACGTGGACCTGCTGTTTGAAACCCTGTTTGACATGGTGGTGCCCGTGATCCTGCGGCAGAGAGCCCAGGGGCCACCACAGACAGTGGACATCACCAGTTATAAGACGCCCAGACGGACCAGATCCGGGTGCTGTGCCTGACTCAGAGAGGCCTGAGCCCCAGTGTACACGATTGGCCAGGGAATGACCGAGCGTGCTGCACACAGGAGCGTGCGAGTCCAGTGGCTTCTTACAGGGGCTGCACACACAGGAGGTGGTCCGTGTGCAAACCACAGCTGGCTGTTGAGCGGTCCACGGGCGTGGTTCCCACGTGGCTGTGTTGGGAGGCGGGGGCAAGTGAATCACCTGCAGAAAACACTCTTCTGAGCCAAGACTTCCAGGGACCGCTCCTTTTCCTAACATCCTGGCCTCGTCGAAGTGTGCGGCTGGGCTTTCTCGGCCCCTGGCCTGTGTGTGGGCCCCTGGCCTGAGTGCCTGCCCCACTGTTTTCTCAGATATTTTCTTCACTGTGGTTTCTCCCTGGTCCTACCATTTGGTATCTGTGTCTTGATGCATCACAATGATTCTTGGCGTGTTAATTTCTACAACATCCAGAATCACTGCTTTTATACTGGTTGCAGCCATGTGAGCTATGCATATTATTAAAAAGGATTATGAGGAGATTCCTGGTGTGGGGTCTGTGTTGATTTAGACCTTATTTTCACTCCTGGTGGACTTCTTGCTGGGGTGCCTGGGAGGTGGCTGTGAGATTAATGTGTTTCTGTCTTTTTTTATTTTTTAAGGTTTACTTATTTATTTATTTATTTGAGAGCAAGAGAGGAAAAGATAAAGAGAGCACAAGCTGGGTGAGTGATAGGGAGAAGCAGACTCCCTAATGAGCAGGGAGTCCGATGTGAGGCTCGATCCCAGGCCCCTGAAACCATGATCTGAGCCGAAGGCAGATGCTTCACCGACTGAGCCACCCCGGCACCCACGTACTTCTGTCTTTAAAAGCTATTATTGAATCCTCAGAAATTTCAGAATATTTAGACTGGTCCATTTGTCTGCTTGTCTTTTTCTCTTTCTTTTCTTTTTTTTTTTTTTAAAGATTTCTATTTATTCATTTGAGAGAGAGCACACAAGCCAGGGGCAGAGGGGCAGAAGAAGAGGGAGAAGCAGGTTCTCTGCTGAGCAGGGAGCCTGACTCCGGACTCCATCCCAGGACCCTGGGATCATGACCTGAGCCGAAGGCAGATGCTCAACTACTGAGCCCCCCAGGTACCCTGTCTGGTTGTCTTGATGACATGAGCTCCAGTAATAGAAACGTAGGAGGTCTGTCTCTGCTCAGTTCTGTTTGGGGTCACCCGTGTAGTTACTAACTCAGAAACCCCGTTTTGTGGTGGTTGGTGGGTGGGCTGCTTTGTCAGGAGAAGATTATAAGACAAGGAGTCTGTGAGGCAGCAGTTTTTGTTTCTGAGAAATTTAACTTTCATGGGTATCTCAACCAACTTGGGCTGCTGTAACCAAATGCAGGCGGGACAAGTTTTTCTCGCAGCTCTGGAGGTCTGAAGCAGAGGTTCATGTGCTGGCAGATCTGATTTCCGGTCCAACCCCTTCCTGCCTGCGGATACCACATGGTGGACAGAGTGAGCTCTGGTCTGTCTTTCCTTGGAAGGCACTAATTCCATCATGAGGACCCAGCCCCATGACCTCCCAAGGCCTCACCTCCAAACACTGTCCCACTGGGGGGTCTGGGCTCCGACAGAAGGATCTGGGGAGAGTCAAGCGATCAGTGCATAACGGACTGCACAGTGAGGCAGAGGCTAGCAAGAAAGCGGAGTGTTTTGTGAGTCATTACGTTGTGGAGGTCAGGGGGTCAGTGATTGTGTTGCGTGTCCACCACCTGCTTGTGGGTCCCTCCAGGCTGGCCTCCTCTGCTCCTGTGTGGTGTGTGTTGTCCAGGTGCCAGTGTGAGCCAGCCTACAGGACAAAGCGAGGTGCAGCCTCCTGTCTGTGCCTGAGGCTCTCCTGGGAGGATACCCCATTCCTGAAGCCCAGCCAGGGGCCTAGACATGTGAATCCCACAGTGGAGCCCAGTGGAAAGTGAAAATGAATCTGTGAATCATCAAAAGTTTCATTACACCTCTACCAGTGACTGGTCCCTGAAACCTGCCATCACCCAGGGAGGCCTAGGGTTTATCTGCAGCCTGTGCAGAAGAGACGGTCCTGTGGTTCATGCCTGAAGGCTGGCTGAGTTCCCACGGCCCTTTCTCCCCTGAATGTTCTTTGTTTCTCTTGCCCATGTGCCCTGAGCTCCCCCAGCTTGTGTCCCTGAATGGCCAGATGTTCTGGTGGGGGGTGCCCAGGGATGGCACGTTCTCCATCAACCACACGGAAGCATTGCACCCTTGGTTGTTGCCCTAAAAATAGGCTTCATGCAGGGCTCTGAGCCAAGTGGATCTCAGATGCCAGTCCAGTTTTGAGGTCTGAGCCTTGTTGCAGGTTCCTGCTCTGTGTGGGTGCGGTTTGCACCAAGGGAGCCAGGTCAGCACTTAGGAAGGTCAGGTTGGTTGGGTGGGTGAGCCAGCCGATGGACATGGGATTTCTTTGCTGGATGTAGATTTTAGCTGGTGACCTCGAATGGTCCCTCTTTTCCTTTGTACAAATGTGGCCCTTTGCGGGGATGGGGAGGCCACGGACAGCCTGCTAACCCACCTGCCAACCTGCTGTGCCTGATCTCAGAGCCACCACTGCAGGTTTTCACCCCTGGCTCCACTGTGTCCTCGCACAGACGGAAGCCTCTTTCCCAACAACATCCCACCGTGCTGGGCAGCAGCGGACAGCAGGGATGCTTTGGGCTGGGAATGTTGTAATCTGTGTGTTGGGATCTCTATTTCCCCCACTTCACAGGCTGCTAGGCTGGTTTTTTTAAAGTACAACTTTGTCTCTCTCTCTTTTTTTTAAAAGATTTTATTTATTCATGAGAGGCACACACACACACACACACACACACAGAGAGAGAGAGAGATAGAGAGAGAGAGAGAGAGGCAGAGACACAGGCAGAGGGAGAAGCAGGCTCCATGCAGGGAGCCCGACGTGGGACTCGATCCTGGGTCTCCAGGATCATGCCCTGGGCCAAAGGCAGTGCTAAACTGCTGAGCCACTGGGGCTGCCCCCCCCCTTTTTTTTTAAGATTTTATTTATTCATGAGAGACACCGAGAGAGGCAGAGACACAGGCAGAGGGAGAAGCAGGCTCCCTGTGGGGAGCCCGATGAGGGATTCGATCCCAGGACCCTAGGATCATGACCTGAACTGAAGGCAGATGCTCAACCACTGAGCCACCCAGGGGTCCCGACAACTTTGTCATTTCTGAACTTGGTTTAAACAGAGCTGCCGCTGTGCCAGGAAAAGCTCACACGGGTGCCTAGTGGCCCCTCCACTTCCAGCACCGGGTCTCCCTACAAACTCAACTTTGCTTCACCTGATTTGTTTAGGGTGCTGTTGTGTTCTCCCTTTTAGGGTTGGTTTGTTCACCTGCTGCCCATGACAAGAGGAGCACCCTGCATGTCCCCCATCTGGTGGTTTGCACTGGAAAGTCCTGGAAGCCTAGAGGCAGTGCCTGGGGGCTGACCACCTGGGTGGGATGGCCTGGGGAAGGGCCACCGTCATGCTGGGGGGGGGGTGGCGGGTCGGGGCCCACTTCCCACCCTTCTCTTGGCCTTGCCCTCTGGCGGCCTCACTGGTGCATTCACACCTCTGTGTGGGGCAGGAGTCCTGTGCCTTGGGGTGGGAGGGAGGTGCAGGGAGACCCCCACACAGAGTCCCCATAATCTGGATGCAAGAATCCCCTTCTCCTAAGTTGGCTCCAGGTAGAGCATGGGTCCCCTTCCCCCCTCCCCACTCCCACCACGGAGAGGCTGGACTCTGGTCCCTGTGTTCTGGTGGCCTTTGGGAATAGCTGCAATCAGGGCGAGTTCATGCCATCACACAACCCACACCTTTGGAGCTGGCCTCCACCCCAGCTGCCCTTTGCTCTTGAACTTGAGCTATGGAAGGGAGGCAAAAGGCTCCTGTGAATTGGCCTGTGTTCTGCAACTGCCCCCCCACCCCTCGCAAGAGTCAGTCTGCAGATGGGGAGGGTATCAGAGGCCACTGGGGAGTATGTCCTGCTAAGGAGGATGTGGGTCCCCATGGCCTCGTCCTTCATGGCATCACACCTAAACCAAGTCAAGCTGCAATCTTCAGGACTGGGACACATTCAAGGCTGCCCCTTGATCGTAGGAAGTAGAGTCCAAAATAAATAGCTGCCTCCATGAGTTTCGTGGGGCGGGGGGTGGTTGGCGCTGTGCTGGGCATCTTTCAAGCCCTGGCCCCACAGCCTTGCCTCCCACGGGGGTGCTGTGGCTGTTGCTATGGAAACCATCTGCGTACAGGTGTAACCCACGGCACCTTACATCAGCTTTGCTGCCTCTCTACTACCTGCACCCGGGATGCTGCTCGGCCACCACACGCCTAGGAGCACAAGGGAAGTGATGGTAGCAGGCAACCCCTGACCACCAGGGCAAGAGCTGGTGGAGGGAGCAGTCCCTGTTCTGCCCTTGGCTGCACACGCAGAGTGTGGCCTCCCTCCGTGGGTTTCCACAGCACAGAGCCCCCAGCTGCCCGGGTGGTCACCCCCTTAGGAAAGCGTCCTCCTTCCTGGGCTCACTCTGCCGGACCCCCTCCGCTCTCTGATTGGGACTCACTTCCCCAAGTAACCGTCCTGTGAGAGTCCTGTCCTGGTCAGCTTCTGGGGGAATGCAAGTCAAAGTGGTTGCTGGGACCTTTCCAACGACATTATTAGGCAAATACTTATTTAGTTACATGAGAACTGTTCTTAGAAAAGGTTAACGTGAGATTGAATAGTAAAGGGTAAAGATAAATTGAGCTGGGCTCCCCGAGATCAGCCAGGTTCCAGAGAAACTCAAGCCAGAAACGTGTTTTTCAGAAATACAGAGATCTGATCTGGGCTGTGAGGTCAGAACTGACTGACTCTGAAGCATGTGGGCGAAGGGCCTGGTCTCCCAGCTTCCAGGGGCGGTCGCTGGGGTGTCCTCTGTGAACGAACGCGGCTCCCTGAGAAGAGGATGGCAGCGCCCGTAGACCTGGGCTCATGCCCGGGGGGGGGGGGCGAGCTCAGCCAGGGCTGGTGCGTGGCCCCAGAGGCAGCCCCTGGGGTTCGTGCCAACAAACGGCACTCTACAGACATGAATGAAGACAGCCCATAACTTAGGGTATAAAAAGCTCAAAACCAACTTTTATTCTGTGGTCATTACAGAGGTTAGATAAGGCATAGGCGTATGAGTCACCGAGAACGGAGGGCGGATCCCCGGGCCACCTGGGGCCGGGGACCCTACAAGGTGGCCGCCAAAGGCGTGGCTGACAACAGAAGCTGAAAAGGTCTCTGCTTCTACACTTTTGGCCAAACCCGATGGTCTGCAAGGACACGGGGGAAAGAGAGCTCGTGTGGGATGATCAAAAGCTTTTAAAATAAAAGGCAGGCACGCCTGGCTTTCCTGAGGGGATGAAAATTCTTGATCAGTGGTCTCAGGGAGAGAACAGAGCTGCCAGCACAGAAGCCGGGAGACCCGCCCATGGGGACTGCCACGTGAGTCCAGCACCCTGGGCTGCGTGGCTTCTGTTATCCACACCGCCCCATTAAGCTCACTGTGCAGGGTCTGCGGCGCTCGAAGCACAGTGACTGTTCGGGTACAGATTAGGAGGTTAGCTACGTCTAGTGCACGATAGTCTAGTATGGCTGTAGGGTGCTGGGGCGTCGCAGTTCCCTGCAGACGGACAGGGCCAGCGCCTGTGGAGGACCAGGGGCTATTTGGTGTAAGTGCTGGCGCGGAGTTCCTTTGGTAGCCTTTCCATTTGGTGTTGAAAGAGAGAAGTGAGATCCGTCTTGGGGGCGTCCTCTGAGGTAATAAGTTAAGAGTAAGCACCAAAGTGGCCCCCCCCCGGCTGAGTGTGGACCTAGAGGGAAGCGCATCCCCTCACAGGTTCTTCATGCACACCTGGCAGCGGCTGATGTGCGTCCGGATGAGCCCCGCCTTGAGGGTGTCGGCGGAGGGCGAGCCCTGGAAGCTCTGCTCGGGGATGGTGGTGAGCCAAAAGCTGTACTTGTTGGCGTAGTAGTGGCAAGTGCCACGGCCTCCATTGCACTCGATGAAGGGTGTGGCACGGAAGTCCTCCAGACAGCTGCCCGGCGACACCAGCGACTGGCCACCACCTTCATCGCCGGCTGCTGTGTGCTGTGCAGAGAGGGAGACAGGGCAGGGCCGTGAGTGCACCCTCCAGGGACAGCCCGGGGCCAGCGGCTTGGATGCGCTTTTCCCCTAACTGAACATCTGACCCAGAGCATCTATCCTTGCCAACACACGATGCCTGCAACACGCTCTTTAACGCTTGGGGCTTGGCTAACTGAAGCAGGGCAGGCCCGCAGAGGGCAGCCTTGGGCACGGGCATGCTGCAGGTGCGGGTCCAGGGACCTGCGCCGATGTCTGTGATGTGTGGTTCAGCGACAACCAGAACAACAGCAGAAGCAGGGGATCCCCGGTGGGTGTGGCTGACTTCACCTGGGAAAAATACTGTCTCCCGCCCGAATGACCCACTTAAAGAATGAATTTGCCTGGCAGGAGAGACACCAAAACGTGAACCTTTTTTAAAGGATAAATAAAGTCGACGTGTGGGTCAGCAATGTGAGGTTTGGTAAGGTAAAGGTCAGGACCAGAGAAGGTGGCCCCTCCAGCCCCTCCCCTCCTGTGCTTATGAAGAGGCGGTGGGGTGGTCTAGAATGTCTTTACTTGCTGGTTTGTCTATGACCCACATGTAACTTGTGGGTCAATTACTGTTTCCATCGGAGGGCTGCTAATCGAGCAACTAGTCACTGGAGATGATCCTGTGGCTACTCCCAGGGCGTGGGCCTGTGTCAGTCTCATTTATGTTGTAGCTCCTGTTAGGGCCCGGGGAGGCCCTGGGTCCCAGATCTCAGGCAGAAACGTGCCGTTTGGCTTGGAGGAGCAGGCTGTGGTTGTGCCACGGGAGTGGGCTCAGCTACGGTGTGTGCGAAGAACGAGGCAGGGAAGCCAGGTTAGCCTCTCTACACAAAACCACAGGCACAGACACCAGCTTTGAAGTCTTCTGCTCACACAGAACACAGGAGCCTCCCCAGCCCAGAGCCACCACACTCGGTTTGGTGTAAGCAGGTGCCTCGGGACCCGCTTGGTGTAAAGGTGCTGAGGCCACGCTGGGAGTGGACAAGCAGGAGAGAGCTGTTGGGTGGGGGTCAGCGCCCAGTGGGAAGCACCTCATAGTCTGAATCACAAAGGAAAAACTACACCAAAGGCCTTAGCCTTAGAGCTGCCACCAGAGAGGCTTCACGAGAAATGACAGAGGTGAGGCATGATGGTTTTCTTGCTGCCGACAGGGATGGACGAGAGGGGTCGTCATGTGCAGACCAGACACTCGCCAGTCTTGGGGTTTGGGCCAGCCTCCTAGACAGGCCGACGGGGCACATGGAGGGGGCAGGGCCTTGCTCGCTGGCCCACTGTCCAAGCCAGTAGGCGTTTCTGTGGCTCTGAGACCCGGCGTGGGTGCAGCCCGGTGGCCCTAAGCCCTGGCTCCCCACATCACCCTGCCTTTGGCAGACGCCCAGTGCCCAGAAGCTGGACAGCGTCCTGCGTACTTGTCCACGGACACAGAGGGAGATGTACTACTCACAAGAGAAGGACCGCCTCCCTCATTTTGGGACATAGTCAAATCACTCCCTTTGCAAGGGAGCAGCTCAGTTTTATTTTTGAATTTCCAGTGGAAGTTACGAGAGAAGAGGGACCACAGAAGCACCCTGATGGCCATGTGCAACCATGTGTCTGTCCTCAGAAGTCACCTTACAGGGTCAGCTTCCTGAGAAGTACACAGTGTGCCTGCCTTGGCACAGAACTTAGGATTCTGTTGCCTCAAATGATTGCAGCACTAATACCTCTAAAAATATTAAGATACACTACTTACTTATCTCTTCCTATAATTTATATGTTATGTTATTTATATACTACATGAAATATTTAACATGTTGGGCATCTAGTCAATGTTGGAGTTATGACAGTTATAATAATTATAAATGCAGCAGAAGACCCATCATCTCTGCTGGACTTTCCTGTCTCCCTACAGTGACGGAGGAAGCAGGAAAACTTTAGGGTTGCTGTTTGGCAACCAAGTTTATCCCAATTACCCAATGCACAAAGGTCTGGTGGCAAATTAATGGGCCTCTTCTGGGTGGGGTCACCCCATGCCTAACATGGCTCAGTTAGCAAAGTGCAGGCAAAAGTGCAGGCTGTATTCCAGCTCTCATCCCCTGGGCCAGATGCCCTTGTGTAGTGCACAACCCGAACAACTGCCCTGTCTGATTATTCTCACAAAGGCAGCTAGCTGTTCATTCTTCCCCAGGCAGGGTGTGGTTGGGGAGAGGAACTAGATTTTTCCTCAGTTCTATGCTCAGAGAGAAAGAGGGCAAGTACCACGTACCATGAGGAAGGAATATCCAATCCAGAGACTCCGCCATCCAGCTGGGCAGTGGGGGATGGAGACATCTTGACTGTGGACTGCAATGGCGACGGCTGGGGCCTCGCACACGGAACAGCGGCTAATGTAGGGCTTGATGTCATCCTCGGCCACCGGCATCATGGGCAGCGGGGCAGTGGTGGACAGCCAGTAGGACTTGTCGTTCCGGCTGGCATAGTAGCACACATCACCAGGGTTGCAGTACAAGAAGGGCATGGTGCTGAACCGAGCCAGGCAGGAGCCCGCCAGCCCTGTGGAAAAGGGTCACCACTGAGCATGCCGGGAAGATTTCCCAGAGGCCTGGCAAAGCCCCGAGGCCCCATGTCAGGGGGTCGTCCAGCAGCTGCCTGCTGGGCTCAGACCTGCACGGGGGACTGAGCCAGGCTTTCCAGTTCCATGTTTCAGAGGACAGCACTGGGGTATTTCAGCCCTGCCCTTCTAGAAGTTCTCACATAGCCCTTTCCACAAGGCTGGGTCAGCAGGGGGAGTGGGGTCTTCATGAATTTGCACCCTGTCTGGGGCCAGTGTCAGGGGCTCTGCAAGCACCAGCTCCAAGATCCCTAATGGGATCCCAGAGAGGGCCTGGCCTACCACATCCTGAGAGGCTCTCCCAGAAGGAGCGCTGGCTGTGCCCACCCCAGATGACTCCACTGCTCCTGGCACAAAGGTCGATTTTATCTCGTGGCAGGTCCAGAGCTGGAGTCCAGAGCCCAGGGACTCTGTGCAGGGCCCCTGCAGGAAGCCTGCCCAGCCCCGGGGCTTGCCCCCACGCCGTTCCCACCGCTGCAGGGTTGGTCCCGTCCTTGTTGGCCTTTGCTAATCGTTCCTGTTAGACTGATTTTGGAAGTCGACCACATTGATGGGATCGTGCACCATCAGGGTTCGGCCTGACGGATTCCCCACCACGGACGTCACGACGAAGGCACCCACCCTGCACACCCCTGCTTTCAGTGTGTGCTTGCTACATTTCTTCTGTGTATTTAAAGCCATTTTAATTCCTCCTGGCACCCAGGCTTCCTTCAATGTCTATGTGTATATGTCTGTATGCGCTTTCCTGGGGCGTCTGTGTGGCGCCCAGGCCCTCCCGGCCCTAGCCTGCATTCGGAGGGAGCGTGGCCGCCACCCGAGGGGCCTCCTGAGCTTGTGGAGGCCGCTGCCAGGTGAGAAGGCAGTCTCTGGGGTCCTGACCCGAGGCTGAGGGCTTTCACAGGCCGCTTTAATCTATTCTGAAGCACCAGGATGTGGACAGGCCCGGGGCCCTCAGTCAGCAGCAGCCCGGGAGCTGAGCTGGCCTGGCTCCGCAGGTCCTACCTACCCAGGTCCTGGTTGTGGGCTTTCTCCTGGCCTTCGAAGTACAGCAGGCTGTATCCACTCCAGAGCTTGTTCATGCCCACGGGGCACATGGGTTCCTGATCCGTCTGACTGTGCTTCACCAGGAGGTAGCCGATGCTGACACTGCGGCCGGGCATGCCCGGCAGCCCGGGGGTCCCTGGGCGGCCCGGCTCCCCTAGAACCCGAGAGAAAGTGGTCACCTTGCAGCTGCTGCTGCGTGGACCTCAGCCCACAGCGTGGGGCTGACATCACTCAGCTCTTGCTGCCCCTGCCTGCTTTCTTCCCGAAGCCTGGCCTTCGCGGGCTCTGCACCTGGCAGACCAACAGCCTCCTGGGCGGTACCCGATCTTCCTGACACTCAGAGTTGGGAAAGCCCAGAGGACTGCAGTCCAGGGCCCACCCAACACATGGGCCTCCTCTGCTAGATCTCTCGGGGACAGGGAGCTCATCGCACACATGGGTCATTTCTGGGACAGAAACCTGCCTCCCATGACGCCTGCCCAGGGGTGATTCTGCCCCCAGAGCACAGCAGGATGCCCAGTCTACTTCCAGCAACATGACCCATCAATCACTGGGAATCCACTGTCCTGGTTGATCCCGCCTCTCCCTACCCCTTCCCTCCCAGGACACTTTCACTTGTCATCACTTCCTCATGGGATGTCCCCTCCACACTGTTGCCTGGGTCTCCCGGCCTGGATGACTCCCCTCTGTCCCTGTGTGTCCGTGACTGTGCATCCCCCAGGTAACCCCTAACCTCCAGACCATGGGTCAGTCTGTTGGGAGGACAGCAGATTTCTCATCCCCATGACCGGGACACTGTGCAGCCCTTTAACTTGTCACATGGCTGCTCCCCTCCTGCTCCTTGTGTGCTCAGGGGGATTAAAACAAATCTATTTCTCTTTGCACAAATTGCTAGTATTTCCTGCCTATCCTGTTCATCCTGCACATGTCCAAGTGATTTCAAGAAATCAGTAATACGAGACTTTACAATGGCTCCTGCTAACGTAATTGTTTTTTTTCAGCTCATCGTCTGAGACCATCAAGATTTTTACAAATCCTCTTTCTCAAAGTCTGTTAATTGCTTCCTTCTCTGAGGTACCTGCAGATGTGTCAGAGGAAGGAAGGGAGCCGGCCGGCTTGGGGACACTGTGCCAGGTGTGTGCAGGTGCTCTTGCAGGGCACAGGTGCTCTGGCCGGGCACAGGTGCTCTAGTCAGGTGCAGGTGTTAGAAGCGCACCCAGCCCCAAGGCTGGAGGGAGGGCAGCCTTTCATCTTTGCTCACCTTGGTGTGTGTGCTTCCCTCCCCAAGGACCACAATCCATCTGTCAGTCCCTCAGTGGACCCAGAAAAGCCACCTTGCCTTCTGTCCCCATTTGCCGTTAAACACTCACCTTCCTGGCCCACTGGCCCCTGGTGTCCCATAGGCCCCTGGTCTCCTCGGAATCCGGGAACAGCAGACACACCACCTCTGCCCTGGGGCCCTGCCTTTCCTGGAGCCCCACGGAAACCTGCAGAGCCGAGAAATGAGCGAGCGTGACTAGCATTGTCATTGACTAGTGACAATGCTCAGTGTCACTGCTGCTCAACAAAGCGTTTTCAGCAAGAAAACCAGTGAAAAGAAAGCAAACAGGAGAAGGAGGCTTTGCTCCTACCTGGATCCCCCGGCGGTCCCTGTGGTCCCATCTCTCCCTGCATTCCCGGAGGGCCTCTCCTTCCCTGTGGACCCACTGGCCCTGGCTGGATGGTAATCTTCTGGGGGATTCCTGCGATCCCGGGGGATCCCACAGAGCCAGGGGCACCTGGAAAGGGAAATGAAAGCCCAGTTGAAAAGAAGAATCCCTCGGTTTTCTTGCTCTGACCTGTGTTCAATTTTTCTATCTGCTGACACCCATCATGAGCTTCCCAGACCTGTCTTGCTCTCGAGACAAGATGGATAATAACTTACTGGAGATGTTGTTCAGCCCTTTTGACAGTTAGTGTCATTCAGCATGTCCCAGTGGGGGTGCTGGCAGGTCTCCATGAGAAACGGCACCCAGAGAGGGGTCCCCAGGCCTGGAGGCGCAGGGACTGTCCAAGGCTGGCAGCCTGCCTGACGTGGTTCTGCAGGTGTGCGAGCAGCCACTTACCTGGGAGTCCTCGGTCTCCCTTGGGTCCCTTGGGGCCTCGGTCGCCCACACTCCCGGTGGCTCCTGTGTTGCCCATGAATCCGGGCTCACCTCTGGGCCCTTCAAGACAAGCAGGATGTGGAGGCCTCGCCTGTCTTGGTGAGGGGGCTCCAGCCATCTCTGACTGGAGCTGCCAGCCTCCCCGACAAGAGGAGCCCTCCGGGGCACCATTACCTTTTTCTCCGGGGAGACCGAACACACCAGGCCGGCCCTGGGGCCCAGGGTCCCCGCCCCATCCTTTAGTCCCGGGGGTTCCTGGAGCTCCTGGGTTCCCCTCATCTCCTTTGCTTCCAGGAAGAGCAGCAGGCCCAGGTGGTCCCGGGGGCCCACGATAACCTGTCGATGTGCATCACAAGGACGATGTTACACGGGAGGAAGGGGCGGGCAGGGCCACACGGTGCCAGGATGTGCTCAGGGGGCCAGACAAAAGTTGCCTGTTTGGGGGGAGTCTTTGGCAGGTCTAATGCTGGACGGCTTTTTTCATGTTGTGGCAAAATATACCTAAGCTAAAACTTACCATTTTAACCATTAAATTTTTTTTTTTTTAGATTTTATTTATTTGAGAGAGAGAGAGAGCTCATGCACTTGCACAAGCAGGGGGAGCAGCAGGCAGAGGGAGAAGCAGTCTCCCCGCCCCGCCGAGCAGTGTGCCTGACGCGACATGGGGCTCAGTCGGGGCTCGGTCAGGATCACGACCCCAGCTGAAGGCAGGTGCTTAACCAACTGAACCACCCAGGTGCCTCTTGTTTTAACCGTTTCTAAGTGTGTGGTTTCAGGGGTGCTAAGTCCATCCATAGTGTTGAGTGGCTGTCACCACCGTGCACCTCAGAGCTTTCTTGTCTTCCCACACTGCAGCTCTGTCTGCATTGGTCATGACTGCACTGCCTCCCCAGTCCCTGGACCCCTTTTCTCCCTTGTCTGTGGATTTGAGCGCTCTCAGGACCTTGTACCAGGGACATCACACAGTGCTCGTCCTTTCATGTGTGGCTTATGTTACTTTGCAGTGTCCTTGAGGTGGAAACGAAAGTCTGTTTCATCCCCAAAGGAACCTCGTCACTGCCAGCTCCTGCCCCCAGAGATTCCAATGCACAGTAATGTGAATCCTACTTACCTTCCAGGCCAAATATCCCTGGTGCCCCTTTGTCACCAGGTAACCCAGACGCGTTGGAAGGGGGAGTGATGCCTGGGAAGCCTTGAAGTCCTGGACTCCCAATTGGGCCTCGTCCCCCTTAGGATGGAAACAGAAGAAGTCAGGTTTAGGATCGGCATCCAACTTTTTGATCTATGGTTTCCCTTCTATGCCGCTTCCTGTCCAGGAGCAGAGCCACCAAGGAGAGGCAGCGATGGGAGATGCCTGAGGCCAGGGAACGTCCGGGGGTGCCATGCATCTGGCTCAGGCCATGTGGCTACGGTACTTGTGGACGGCACCTGGCCCCCTGAGGTTGGCTCTGTTGCTTGTGAGCACTTGTGTTGGACAGGAGGTTCTTGTCTTGGCAGGACAAGCACACTGATGCTTTCAATACTCCTTGCAGCTGCCCTTTGGTGGCTTGGGTCCCAGCTCTACGGTGGGTCCTTCCTGCTCATAGAGCCTGTACTTGCCAATTCGCCTACCCACTATGATCTGCTGGTGACCCTAAATCAATACTAGCAGCACACTGGACAGGCAGAGGGGGCGGATTCCTGGAGTCCCCACTGAGGGCCCCGTTTCAGCTCAGGGTGTCAACAGGGGTCCTTTCTGTGTCTGTTTAGTGCCTCCTCCCCACCCCCCCCTTTTTTTTTTACATTTCTGTGCTTTTTATTGGTGAGTTCACTGTTTATATTGCCTCCTGCACACCATGCTGAGGTGCTGTCTGGCATTCCCGAACTCAGAGGCGCAGTGGCATACTGTCAGAGAAAATGTGTTAGATAGGCTTCCTTCAGGCAAGATACAGAGCCGATGAGTTCCACGTTAATGTACCAACAAGAGATACTAAATATGGTGTCTTTAGACAGAAACACACAAAAAGCCAAGTTACAATTGATCGATTGATGAGAATGTGACCAGGGGCTCACCGGAACTGCTAGACACACTGGCTCAGTATCCGAGAACTTGGTGTGCATGGGAGGCGACAGGACTGGCCCGGGTCCGAGTCAAAGGCTGGCTCCTCGGGCAGTGCCCACACACAGACCCTAGAGGGCATTCCCTACCTGCTCCCCCCTGAGCTTCAGCCAACATGACGTGCTAGGTGGGCAAGCTGAATGTCAGGAGCAGGGGCTGGTTTCTGTCCTGACTGCCAGACTAGTGCTTGTTCTCTGGAGTGTGGAGGCCTGAGGTCAGTACAAGGACACTGCCCACAGCCAGGATACCCTATCGTCCTGGGACAGCGGTCTCTGCTCCAGGGGAAGGAGTGAATGGGCAGCACGGGGCACACACGGGTGACCTAAGACTAAGAGTCACCTCCTGTGCGCCCCCTGCAGCCTCCTGACTGACCCGGGCTCCTCGGCAACCCCAGGGGATCCTCATACCTGTCATGGTGTGTGCTTCTGAGTGTACGAAGAACACACCAAGAGAAACATTTAGAAAGGTGTGGTCTTTGCCCTGCTACTTACAGGCAACAAGCAGGTGGATTCACCAGGCCTGTGGGGATTGGCCAGCTGCCGTCTCTAGTTTGATCGGAAATGACACCAACTGAGCTGCATCTAGCTATTGTCACAAAGTAACTCAAACAGATTGTGAGTGTCGGTGGCAAAAACTCCTGAGTTACAGGATCCAGATTGGCCACATTCCCCTGACAATGCAAGGGACCAACCGCATGGTTGAGACACTGACTCAGGTTCAGTGTGCTGGAATCAGGATCCAAACAAGCCCATTCTCTCTGTGGCCCCCACAGATCTTCCTCAGTACTGAAATAAACCCCCTGACTAATGAAGGTCTGATGAGGGCTGTTCAGCACCACTCATGGGCAATGAGTGGGGACATGCTGGTGGACTGACCCTAGATCCTCACCCCTGAGTGGGGATGGCCCTGACTGGGGCTGTGTGAACACCTTGTAGCCACTCAGGGCTCACAGTGAGACCCCAGCTGGCTGCACCTCTGCTCATTCTCCTGCCTCAGATCAATGACATGGGGCTCCAATACCAGGGAATTCTGGAGTTTCCAGCTATCTGAAAGGGGAAAGAGAAGGTGACAGATCTTGGAGAATCAGATGATATGGTCTGTGAGCCTTGGGTCACCCACTGCCACCATGGGGGATCAAGTCACTGGCCTCCTTGGGTACTGGCTTCTTTGTGGGGTCCCTGGGCTCTAGCTTAGGAGGGTATTTTGACCTGAGCACTTGCACCCAGGCCCCAGTGCCCAGAAGCCCAATGTGTGACAGGCCTGTGCCCACGTGCCGTGGCACAGCCAGCCTCTGGTGCAAGGCTGCCATTGTGGGCACAGTGACTGGATGAGTTGGGCATGGTGGGGGCAGGATCATCAGAAAGCAGAACCTGGTGCGGTACACTCAGTGAAACTACAATGCTTTCCACACATACTCCACTCCTATATATTGATTATAGTTTTATGTGGAAATGTTTCCCATCTCGGTTTAGGCTTGAGCATGTGTGCTGGTGGGTGGGGTGGGCTGGGGGTGTGGGTCTCCTCAGTAGGTGAGACCACCTTTCCCTGGTTTGCTCCTACCACATCCCAGGCCTCCCCGGGACTCAGCTGAGTGATTGTAGGGTTTGTATGGACTCGTCATCCAATACTAAGTGCTTGTTATTGGTAACCGCCATGCCAGGTGCTGCGGGGGCATAGTGGAGATGGACAGTGGTCCCTAGGGCCTGGGAGCTTTCCTGACCACAGGAGAGGTGGTCAGTAACAACCCCGATGGGTCATAACAGAGTATGATGGTGGGGGGCTGGCTGAGAAGTTTTGCAGAGCAACCAGTGCTGCCAGGATCCACTACATGCTCATCTCTCGGACTCATGGACATCCCGGGTCTGGTTGTGCAGTGCTGCCACTGGGCAGTGCATAGCCTCACCTGGATCGCCTCGCTCCCCTTTCTGTCCTGGGGCCCCGATGGGTCCTGGGTGGATGTTGGCCTCTCCGGGGTCGCCCCTGTCCCCAGCAGGACCAGGGAAGCCAGGGTTTCCGTGGATGTCCGCACCTGTGGCAGGGGCCGCACAGCAGGGATGTTAGCATCCTCACCCACGCCAGGCTGGTCTTCAGAAGCAGAAGGACGGCCACGCTGTGCAGTGGGACTCGGGAACAGAGCCGGAACTCAGCTGTGGAGATTTCGGCTAGCCAAGTGGCTTCAGTGTCCCAGATCGCATCTTGGCCGAACCCTCCACTGTCTGCAGAACCACTGGGTGGGGGGGACCCAGTCCACGTGGCCTTGGGGATGACCACACAACTCTGGGATGCCCCCAGCACCCCCTCCCCCATTGGTGGGTGTGGCCACATGGCCGGGGCGTGCCAGGTACCTGGGGATCCAGGAAGGCCTTTGGTGCCTGGCAAACCGTGTAATCCGCTGATGCCTCGGATGCCGGGAAAGCCTGTGTGGATTTCACTCATGGTTATTCCATGCATTGGAGAGCAAAGCGGCTTTTAAATCAGTTTGACCTGTTCTTGTTTGCTATTATACGGCCACCTGTCCACTTTACTCAAGAGCCCGGCAAACAGGAAGCACTTCCGCACAGTGTGACTTATAAACGAATCCTGTCTGCATCATCCAGGAGAAGCAGCTCACAAAAGACCGTTCTCATGGAACCGTGTTGAAGGCTCCTTAGAGCTGTGGGGGAGCTGGCAGTGGTGTCTTTCCTCCTGATGCCGAAGTCACTACGTACAGGTGCTTTGTAAGAACTGTGCTCTGCAACGACGCTGTGGCAGTCACTATTTTAGTCCCTCCAGATTCCCCAGGACAAACATTTCTAAAGTAGCACCCGGGAGGCAGGCAGCGACTCTCCCTCCGATGCGGCAGTGAGTGTGGGCTGGGATGGGCCCCCTTAGTTCTGAGCAGGACAGCTTCCAGGTGCCTGTCCCCTGACCAAGGCCCATCCAGGCCGGGCAGTACCCCGGCCCCATCTCTACCAGCCCTGGCTCAGTGGCAGCCGGGAGTCCCGGACAGAACGGGGACGCTGGCCTCTGTCCCTCTGGCCCTTCTCACTGCCTGTGCGCTGACCAGAGAGGACAGCCTGGCTGACTGCCTCTCCTCCACCGGCCCATCTGGCTCTGAGCAAATCTGTGCACCAGCTCTTACCTGGGGAGCCTGGAATCCCTGGCCAGCCGTAGTCTCCTTTGTCACCAGGCACACCTGCCCGGCCCGGATCTCCCTGTGGCCCCTGCAGCCCTGTCAGTCCTGGGAAGCCTGGGGGTGGGGGTGGGGGACAAATGCCTCCATGAGTGGGACTGGAACCCTGAGGCCTGGCCACCTGCAGTTCGGGTCCTGCCGGGAGGAGGAGGAACTTCGTGGGAAAGGACCAGCTGGGAATGTGCCCCACTTTCAGGCTCAGCCTTGCTACAGACAGCAGCTGGTGTTCTACCATTCGGGTGCTGTCATCCAGGCAGGGGTGCAGAGAGAGCCTGGAGACCTGGAGGATTGGTGTCAGGGTTCCCAGGTCCCACACAAAGCACAGCAAAGGCAGCAACAAGAAAAGAGTTAGAAACCAGTCCCCTGTTGGCTTTCCCTCTTGATTCTGGATCCGCAAACATGTTTCTGCATATCCAGATGCAAGGAAGGGGCCCTGGGACCAGGACTCGGTCTGCATTTATAAGAAGATGGACCCAGGGCCACATAAGCACATGCGTCTGCCCCCTGTGTGTCTCCCCAAGGGCAGTGGCCTTGGTCCTAAGACAGAGCTGGGTCATGGGCAACGTGCAAGAGCCAGTCTCATGCGGTGGAGTGTGGTCATGGCTCAAGGATATGGGCACACCAGCTGCCCCTGTGCTGGGGGCCTGGAGGTTTGGGGGCTCAGCTGTGCAGGGGAAGGTGCATGTGGGGCTACGTGACAGCATGAGATCATACCTGTTTGCCCTTTAGGTCCAGGAGGGCCTTGGATGCCTGGCACGCCTGTTATCCCAGGGAAGCCAACTTCACCCTCTGTTCCCTTTTCCCCGAAGAATCCCTTTAGACCTGTAAGCACAGAGTCTCTGCTAGGAGCAGAGCAGACATGGAGCCCAGGGGGCTCAGGGAGACACAGTTGAGGGTCTTGTCATTCCACATCGGTGCTTCTGCTGTGAACGGGCTGCGGATCTCAGCATGTTCCTTCTCTAACATTTTCCCTAATTCAGTAGCCCCATGTCCTGGCATCCATGCCCTTGTGCATGGGTGGGGCTGACCCGGGCAACCCCCAGGGCACTGTGGAAATGCTGGTGTGTCACTCCACGGCGTGGCCATAAAATGCATCATGGCTTTCCCTTTGTCACCTCTGGAGAAAGCCAGCTGCCATGCCGTGGGGACACCCAGCAGTGCTGCCAGAGGCAAGGGGTTGACCCTCCTGCCCCAGACCAGCCTGCGATGGTGTGGCCTCAGAGTCAGAAGTGCCCTGCACCCGAATTCCCCACCCTTACATGCTAGGACATGGTCCCTGCTTGGGGACATCCCAAGCCGCTGTGTTTCAGACAGACAGAGCTTTCCTGACTTTGTCTTCAGGTTCAATTTAACAAGAAATTCCAGAGTTCTGTTTGCCCACAGGCTTGAAGACCTCAAACCATTCCCTGAAACGTGACTCAGTGATACAGGTTGTGATATATCAGGCAAGTTGGTGCCTGAGGGAGATGCACGCAGGGCTCAGGGCTGAGGTGATAAGGCCAGAGTGACTGACGTACCTGGTGCTCCAGCGATGCCCTGCTCACCCTTCAGGCCTGGGCTTCCTGGCAGGTTTATGATGTCTCCACTGTCACCTGCAGTGGGCAGAAAAGACAGCTGACACCTATTGGTAGGTGGTCAGTTTGCAACTTTGCTGTGTTACACTCTTTTTTTTTTCTTTTAATAATTAATTAATTTATTTATTTGAGAGAGAGAGAAGGAGAGCATGAGTGGGAGGAGATACAGAGGGAGAGGGAGAAGCAGACTCCTCGCTGAGCCGGGATCCCCACATAGGACTCGATCCCCAGACCCTGAGATCATGACCTGAGCCCAAGGCAGATGCCTATTCAACTGAGACACTCAGGTGCCCCTGTTCTGTTACATTCCTAATAAAAATAATTTGCTTTGAAATTCCTAACAGCATCTCAGTGTCTGACCACCACACCTGCTGGAACGCTCTGGATTGTGGATGCCCTACAGTCATGATCCAAGCAATACTCACCAAAGTCCCCTGTGGGGCCCACCTCGCCGTAAAAGCCTGCTCTCCCTGGAGCTCCCTTGTCACCCTAGAGAAGGTCAGACACGAAAACATCTCAGATGAGCAGGACAGGCTCAACAGAAGGCTGTTCCCAAGATATGTTTATCATTCTAAAGGGTTTAACATGCCTGGCTCTTGGGCTAAAACCAACACTCAAAGTTTATCTCATCAATTTGTAGTCAACCCCTCAGGTTTTTCCACATAACAGCAGATGGTCTGCTTCCTCGTTCTTACTGGACGGGGAAGCTTTGCTGAAGCTGAGAACACAGATGGTGGATGTCGCCATCATGACAGTGGTGGTGACACTCACGGCTGACCCATCCCACCTTGCCCCATTCAAAAGCTTCATTTAAACTTCACAACGACCCTATGACATAGATATTTTGTTATGTCCTGTTTGACAGATGAGGAAGTTGAGGCACATAGAGGCCGAGTGATTTGCCCAAGTAACCGGCAGAATTGGAATCTGAGTTGGACCCCTGATTTCCAAGCTTGCTGTGATGTTGCACAGCCATGCCCTCCAGCTGTGGACGGTTGGACTTCCTGAATCGAGGCTGGTCACTGATGATGATGCTGGGATGGTGTCTGGGTGGCTCTGTGACCACGGAGAGCACGGTTTTCCTCATCCTCTGAGGGAGGGTGGTGTGCTGGTCTACATGGCAGTACTGTGGGGCCTTCCACAAAGTGACCTCTCCCAGCACAGCACAGCTCTGTTTTGTGGGGAGTGGGGAGGCTGTACCATGAGCTTCACTCGTGTACTAGCCACATAAAGACACACAACAACTTCAGCATTGCAGAAAGTTCTCTCCTGGTTCCTAATCTTGCCCAAGACAGCCACTCTCTGACTGACCCCATCACTGGCTCTTGTTGGTTCCTGATCTTTACAGTTGGGGTTGCCTCACTCGTACTTAGTTTCTGCATCATTTTTTTTTCATCAGGAAGTATGTGAGAGTCACTGTTGTCCTTCTCAGTAATTCTCTCTCCCGCCATGTAGCCCACAGCCGGAATGTGCCCGTCTCCACACTCCTCCTCCTGGTGGTGGGCATTCGGGCTCTCCCAGTATTTGGCTTTGTCTGTCATAGACAGACAGACAGACTCCATAGACTGGGAGCACTGCCATTGTGTCTTCTCGTCCTATTTTAAATCATCTGACAAGCTGCACACAAGATCGCATTGGCTACACCAGGAGGCAGTGATGGGAGCGACAGGAGGAAGACACTGAGGGCTGTGGAGGGCATCATCAAGGTGGGCCAGATGGACGCCTCCCAGGCTGCTATTAATGGTCCACCACGGGGTGGCCAGACTTTCCGACCGGCCCAAAGTGTGCTGACCCCAGCGTGAATCCCAGAAATGCATCTGTCACATGCTGAGGACGGTGAGCATATAATGTCTTTAAACAAAAGAGGATAAAAAGACTTCCACGAAACACAGTCGATGGAGAGCCGCTCTGTGCTGTGTTCTGTGCACCATGTCTAGCACACTCTGCGAAACCACGGGATTTAGAGGAGGGGAGACCACTGGTGTGGAGGGACGGGCACTCCCTCAGGGGTCAGGGCACATCCCCCTCACCATGACAACATTGCTCAGAGCAGGTATGCCGAGTAAGGAGTGAACGACAGGCTGGATGTCGTCCTTGCTGTGATCCAGTAATGGGTCCTCAGTCCTGATGTCACACACACTCAAGTCCAGCATTTGGAGGGCCAGACGTTGGAGTTTAGCCTTCCAGAAGCCCCCATGGAAAAGTGCAGACACCAGGCTTCATCCAACAGGAGGGCAGCAGTGGCGTGGGAGGCACTTGTATTACCGCTGCTGGTGGCGTGAGTACAGCGTCTCCTTACCCTGACGCGGGGGCCCAGGACAGCCCCAGGCCTCAATTCTGAAGCCGGCCCTTGACCACTTGTAGCACAGCGAATGCTGGAGCACAGCACCCTGGGCAGAAGCAGGGGGAGAGGCGCAATCGCAAGAAGATGTGGAATGAGAGATGCCCACTCACCCTACTTCCTGTGAACCCCGGAAACCCGATGATTCCGGGGGGGCCGGGCACACCAGGAAATCCTGGTAAACCGGGCATGCCGGGAATGCCGATGTCTCCTTTGATGCCTTTGATGTGGCCCGGCTTCCCCGGCAGCCCAGGCACTCCGGACAGCCCAGGGATCCCCGGCATCCCGGGAAGACCTGCAGGAGGAGCCCAGGTGTGGATCAGCACTGGTGGTGGTGGGAGCACCTTGCCCCCCTGGAGGACGCAGCACCACCCTCCCCCAGTGTCTGGCTCTGCAGCCCCGAGGGCGGTAAATCTTAAACCAGGAAAGTGAGGCTTCCTGGCCACCTAGAACCAGGGGTCCCCTTGTCGAGATGTCGGGGTCAAAGGAGCTGGGGCATGGCGAGGCCTGTCCTGGGCGGAGGGCCATCTGGCACCCAAGCTGCTGTGTCTGGCTCAGGGGGCTGGGCAGGGAGGGGGAGATGCTCACCTTTCAGGCCCAGGTACCCTTTCAGCCCCATGGGCCCTTCGTCTCCTTTCTCTCCTTTGATGTCTTTCATTCCTGGCTGGATGATGGGAGGAGGTCCTGGGGGCCCAGGGTCCCCGCGGCTGCCTGCGGCGGAACAGGATGCGTCTGTCCCCTAGCCTCTGGGCCCAGCGGAGCAGCCTGGAGGAGGCCCCTTAGCCACGGCTGTCCAGGCCAGCGAGTCCCAAGGGGCTCTGAGCCCTGGGGCGGCCCGTCCTCCCCTCCCCCCAGCCCCGACAGGGGCCCAAGTGAGGGGGCAAGGGTCTCTGAGAGAGGCTGAGGCCGATGGCTAAATGCCTGTCCTCTTCCACGGGCCCTTCTCCTCGTGAGCCAAGTGAGGAACTGTGCCCCCAACCACTATGGAACTCTAGGACATCTTCATAACCCCAGAAAGGAGCCCCATGCCCACCAGCAGTCGCCCCAACTGTTCCCTACTGCCACCCCAGGAGGCCACAAATCCATGTCCTGTCTCTCTCGATTTGCCTATTCTGGATCTTTCATGTAAAGGGAAGCAGACAACATGTGGCAAAATGCTCTCAAGTCTGAAGCACGTGCAGCGTGTGTCCGACCCGGGTTCCTCCTTCCCACCAGCCAGAGTGCCATCACACGCCGACGCCGCATGGGGCTCATCCACGGTATTTCTGGGGTCAGCTCTTAGAAATAATGTGGCTATGGACATCCGTGTGCTTTCACTCTCCGGACGTCTACCCAGATCCCCACCAGCAGCGTGCGGTGAGCACGCCTGCATCAACACTTGCTATTGGTGGTTACGATTTTAGAGGCCATGGTGAAACTTTCAGAGCAAGGGTGTTTGAACAAAAGTTGTGAAACTGTGGCTTGTTGCCACACACCCTCTGAATGCAGGTCTCCCACCAGGTCTTGAGATGCCTGCCTGCGCCGGGGCTTGCCCCAGCTTCATGTCTGTGGGTCACAACCTTGGTGTGGTGTCCCAACCTGGGACGCCGTGTCCCTGGCTTGTCAGATGGCACTCTTCTCCTATAGGACTGACCTCTTGCTCTTCCCTTGGCTTCCCCTGGCCTCATGTCCACCAGGAATAATCAGAGTGGGAGGTTTCTTACAACTATTAGGATGTCCTTAATGGAGCTGCCATTTTGTTCTTAAAAATTTCCTTTGTATAAAATCAACAGGCCACGGGGATATGACATACAGCAGGGTGACGACAGCTGTTAATACTGAACTGCATATCCGAGAGTCGCTATAACTGTGGATCTGAAAGGTCCTTGTCATCACAGAAAAGTTCTGTGACTCTGTGGTGACAGGTGCAAACTAGACTTACATGGTGACCATGTCAGCACATCATACAAATACCCATCATGTTGTGGGCTTGAAATTGGGGTTGCCTTCAATGACAACTGGATAAAACCTTTTGTTGAATACAAACCCAAATACTTCCTTTGGTTGGATTCTTCCCTTAGGACAGCTGGTGGGCTGAGGCCGGGATAGTCTTCTAATTTTTGTTACTTTCCTTCTTTCTGATTGTGCCTAGCTTTTGGGTTCCTGGAGGATTCGCTTTCAGGAGTGCAACACCCCACAAAAGGGAGTCCCCACCCTCCAGAAAGGCATTCAAAGAGGTGCACATACCTTTCACACCCGGCTCACCAGCCAGACCCTTCAGTCCTGGAATTCCAAAAAATCCGGCCTCTCCTTTATTTCCTGGAAGCCCGGGTCTTCCTTTGAGCCCCACCATGCCTTGGAAGCCATCCATCCCGGGCGAGCCTCTCCCACCTTCAGAGGGAAGGAAAGAAGTGCTGGGTTAGCCATGGATAAGCACACGGGGTCTTTCGTCTTGCTTATCCATGACATTCTTGCAGCGTGACTCACAGGAGATGCTCAGATCCCTAGCCTAAAATAAGGATTTTCGGGACACCATCCCTAAGGGGCTTGTCTGCTGTCTGCGAACAGACTGAGCCACAGCAGAGTCAGCCTGCTTGACAACTCGCCGTGGGGACAAGACATGAGGTAAATGTACGGTGGTCGTAGGAAAGATGCAAGGAAGATGGATGGTAACTTGTGTCTGTGGCTGCTGGGAACAGGTCATGACCTGAGGTTAACCCTGCACCCAGTGCAGGAATCCCAGAAAGGACACTGGAGAGAGAGATCCCTGTGTGGCCCCACAGCTACTTGGCCTTGGTTTGTGTGCAAATAAATCTGTCCCAGCCACCAGGCATTTTCCTCAGTTTTGGGTTTGTCATAACCAACCAGCCTCCTGATCTGACACCAGGGTCCAGAGAGGCCTCTCTATAAATCTCCCATGCAGAGACAAGGTCCTGCTCCCTCACTCTCATTACATGAGTAAATCGGCATTTGGGGACATGCCTGCCACAGCCAGCTACAGCCAGCCTAGCAGCACTGGCCTATTCTCTGAGGCAGGATGCCTCCCAGGGGCCCTGGCCTGCCACTGAGTGGGGCTAGGCTCTCCTGGCATGGCCATCCTGAGTCCCAGACTAAACCGGTACCCACCTCAGGGAGTGCCCCATCTGCCCACCGTTACCTTTCTGCCCAGGGATACCAGGCATTCCACTCATTCCTTTAAATCCAGGACTTCCTAGGGGGCCTCGTTCACCCAGCAAACCGGGGTCACCTCTGTCGCCAGACAGACCCTTCATGCCCACAGGGCCGGGGACACCTGTGTCCCCTGGGTCCCCTCTGTCTCCAGGCAGACCTGAAAAGCAGAGGAGGAGGAAAGTAGAAAAAGATGAACAAACTTGGAAGAGCTACATGTTCCGGGGGCTGGTCACCCTGAACCAGCTTCCACGTGGAGGGGCTCTGGGATGGCTTCATCTCCACGTGTCTTGCCCCCACCCGCTTCCCCCAGCAGGAAGCACCATCCTTTCTTCCTCACATCTGCCACTTTCAGAAAACAAGTTAGGTCCTCCTCCTTAAAGCAGAGCAGTGTTTTTGAAGTTCTGTTGGAAATTTCATTTTGTTTCCTACTGAAATCCTAGCCAGAACCTCAATATACAACAGGTATGAGGATGAATGGGTTTCTCAGCGGTTTGAGTTCTTGTTTGGCAAAATCCATGCCCTGTTTGTGAAACCTGTTACAGGCTGAGCTGTGTCGTCCCCGTACCTTCATGTGTGGAAATCCTAAGCCCCAGTACCTGGGTCCTTAAAGGGGTGATTACAGAGAAATGGGTCCTAATCAGATGTGACTGGTGTCTGTATAAGAGATCAGGACCTAGACACCCTCAGGGAAGGACCCCGGGGACGAGATGGCCATCTGCAAGCCAAAGAAAGAGGCCTCAGAAGAGACCTGCCCTGCTGGCATCTTGATGGCAGACGTCCAGCCTCGAGGTCTGTGAGAGAAAAAATGTCTCTTAAGTTGCTCATGTGGGATACTTTTGGAAACCCTACGGCTTTTGGGGGTGCCTTGGAGCCCAGTTTGAGAACTCCCTGGGGGAAGGGATCCTTACCTCCGTGACCTGAGGCTCCTGGCAGCCCCAAGGGCCCCTCCCGGCCGGGAGCTCCTGGGAAGCCATGCTGTCCTGGTGGCCCGGGCAGGCCCGGCTGGCCCGAGGGTCCTGGGAAGCCTGGCTGGCCCTTCAGACCTGGCATTCCTGGCATGCCCTGGCTTCCTGTGGGGATCAAGACAAGCGCCATGAGGCCAACCCTACACAGTTCACTGCCAACATCTACCTCTCAGGCTCATTCTATACACACGGGGTTTCATTATGTTCTGGGCAGTGAGAAACCTGGAGCATCCACAGAAGTACAAGATCACAGGGACTCCCGCCACCACCCAGAGACAATGACCAATAATGCCCCCATACTCTTCCTTCTGGCTTCTCGTCACACAATGCACCGAGGAACAGACATTGGCAGACCTGACAACTTGCCGTGTGTTCAATTTTTGGCTTTTCTTCTCTTGTTATATTTTGAGCATTTTGCTACATTTTAAAATATTCTTTACATTTTATTTAAAGATTTTATGTCTTTGAGAAAGAGAGAAGAGTTGGAGGAGGGGCAGAGGGAAAGGGAGAAGCAGACTCCTAACTGAGCAGGGAGCCCGATTTGGAATTCGATCCCAGGACCAGGGATCATGACCTGAGCCGAAGGCAAATGCTTCACTGACTCAGCCACTGGCGCCCTGTACTTTACACTTTACATGGCTCTGTGCGTAGCAGTACCACATCAGGGACATATTCATCACCACCTGTCTCTGTCCTTACAAATAGCAACCGAGGGAGCGGTGTTTGGTGCGCACATCGGTGTCTGGATTGTAGGCTGTTTCTTCAGGAAGGTGCCCAGACACTGACTTTGTGGGGCAGAGCGACGCTAGTATACACTATAGCCGTGTGCTCCAGCGTCTGCACATGCCTGTCCTCCTGCGGGGCTCCCCCAGCCGTGGGCTGATGCTGACACAGAACTGGGAGTCTGGCAGGCAGGATGGGGGTGGGAGGCAGGAAGTGCTCGAGAGCAGCTGTGTCACAGGTGGGGTGGACTGTGAGTTACATTTCTTTCTCCTACTGTTTGGTTTTTAATGAAATTTTTGTTCCTTGCTACTATCTTCCTTTGAGGATCTTGGTATTTTTCTTATAGATGTTAGTATTCCTCATATACATCGACTAATTTCCTCCATAGCTCTTATAAGGTCTACTCTATTTTGCTGCCCAAATTTTCATTTTGTTTTTGACGGGAAGATTAGTATTCATGTGCAAATATTATGCACTCTGTATATATGTGTGTGCACATGCAGTTTCTTCACTTGCTTTTATGTTTATAACATCCTGCCCTATCCATGGGTCACATAAGCATAGATTTTCTTCTAGCTTTTTTGTTTGTTCGTTTTTTTAGTACTGAACTCCTGGGTCTTTCTTTTCTTCTCAGACTTTAAAGTTCATACGTTCCTCCAGTTAATACCGATAGGAGGGGTGATGCCCGTTTCACAGTCCTCTCCAGTGACTGAAGCACACCTGCTCATTTAGCCCATGACCATCCTACGGAGTGTGTGGCTGACCTGAGCAGAGGGGTGGACAAGTTGGGGGGGGCAGAGGGGAGGGTCATCAACAAAGGGAACCAGGCCAGTCTTGGACCAACCCAGAATCTGACTTGGAAGTGTGTGTCCCAGTTATCTAATACAAGGCAGAATGGGAGAGAAAGGTCTGCAAAGAGATTCTCAGAGACGCACGGATGCAAGTCCTTACGTTCTCCAGTTTCATTTCGGTATACGAGGGTACTTCTATGGCTCGGCTTCTGCCTCTGGAGTTACAAGCTCCAGAGAGGGCATCGTGTGTGTGGTGCTGACAGTCTGGGCAGCAGGCAGTGCTGGAGGCATCAAGTCTAGCTGGAGAATCAGGCTCCTGCCACCAACCAGGCTCCTCCAAGAGAATGGACGGAGCTTTACCAGCAGGAGCCCTCCAGGCTGCTGACCTGAGAGAGCCGGGCCAGGAAGGTCACGGGAGCTGAGGCTGCCAGCTCGGTTTCTGGAGCACCTCCCTCAAAGGGGCAGGTGGTGGGCAGGACAGGTGGCACGCGGAGTCCAAACCGAACAAGGCTACTTCAGCGTCCTTAAAAACCTCAGGCATTGGAGGCTTGCTCCTTCAGCTGTCTATTGTGACATTAGAACTCAATATTTTAAGCCAATTTCCATTTTTTGGAACATCTACTAAAAAGGAACACCTACAAAAAGTCTGCTTCTCTCAGCAAAATGACTCTAACTCGGGGACCTGGGTCCCTGCTTCACATGGAGGCTCTTTGCCAGCACACAGGCTGCATCTGGGCACCTGCGGCCTTGTGAGGCCCCCCCGCCCCTCCCCCCACCCATGGCTCCCCTGCCCAGCTGGGCTGGACTGACATGGAAACAGGTTCTTAAAGCTTTGATGCTCTGAAGTCAGAACTTCTACCGAACAAAAGTTTGCCTGAGCAAGCTGGTTCCCGATGGGACATCGATGGCAGGAAACATCCACAGGCTCCAGAGTCAACCCGTTGCCGTTTGCTGTTCTACTCAAACAGCAAAAATCTGTGGGGAATAGTTAGATTTAAAAAAATCTATCTGGGGCAGCCCCGGTGGCTCAGCGGTTTAACACCGCCTTTGGCTCAGGGCATGATCCTGGAGACTGGGGATCGAGTCCCACAGCGGGCTCCCTGCATGGAGCCTGCTTCTCCCTCTGCCTATGCCTCTCTCTCTCTCTGTGCCTTTCATGATTAGATAAATAAAACGTTAAAAAAAATCTATCTGAAGGGTCCTCTGTGAAGAGCCTGTGGTTGTTTTTGCAACCAGACAGCAATGCTGATTGTTGAGGACATGGGGCCCGCCACTCATTTCAACAGCCACAGGGGAGCTGCTGCTCACGAAGCTGTCCCACCAGTGCGGCCAGCTGTCCACCACCACGCCTGCTGCTCTGAAGCTCCCCAGGCTGTAACCACGTTGGCAGGGACAGACCCAGTTGTCCCGGCAGTGGGTCTTCACTGCTGGATGGCTGCATCCACGGGCCTGTGTACCTCATGGGGTTGATGTGTGTGTGTGTGTGTCTAAGAGTGTGACTGTGGATGTGTGGACTTGAGTGTGTGAGAGTGGGCATGTGAGCGTGTGTAGGAGTGTGAGCGTGTGGGCACATGCGTGGGGCTCCGTGTGCATGCACATGGGTCTGCCATCACGCTTGCACAAGCTGCACGTGCGTGTATGTATAAGCGTGCGGATGTATGTGCAGGAACTTCTGGAACTGACAGGCTCATCTGAAAACCAACCGGCGCTCCTGAGCTTGTCCAGAGCCAGGCTTCATCCGCTGGAAACACTCCCATGTAAAGGCTGCGGGGCAAGGTCCGATGGCACTGGAGGGAGTGGCACCCGCCTCCTCCACCACAGAGGAGGCCCCCTGTGCCTGGGCTTGGGGAGGCGACTGACAACCATGCCGTCAACAGACAAACAGCTGCTTCTTAAAGTCTCAGTTCTTCCTGCATCTTCCTGTCTGACCGGGAACACTCAGGGTCTGGTGCTCTCCAGTGCGTGTTGCACCAAATGTAAACGCTTGCTCCTCAGTGACACCGTCTTCATCAGAACGAGGGTGTTTGGGGTTTGGACGTCAGTTTTGCATGAACTGGAAACACAAAGCCATCTGACGCCCTGTTCACTCATCAAACAGTGAGCCATCTTTCTACCTTGTACACATACACTGACGACATTGTGGACATTGAAATATTTTACACCAGCCTGTTAAGCTGTGCTCACGTCATTCTCGCCTAGCCCTCTCCCTAAGCATGGTCTCTGCTCTTCACACGAACGGCACACATTCTGCTGGAGGCTCGGGTGAGGCCCCCCACCCCAGTTCACACCCAGCTTCAGAAGGGGGAGTGTGCATAGTTAGTCTCTACTTGTAAAAGTCTCCAAGGGTCATCCTTTCCTGGCTACTGAACGTAAATGCAGGATGGTGATTTTTGTCCTAAAACACTCTGAAGGAATACTGGTACTGAGTGTGGGGAACAGAAGGCAACCACACTGTCCACACAGCCTGTGGCTTTTTACCAAATTCCTAGGAGGGACTTGGGACGTGCCCTTGGGAGCCACCGCTCAGCGGGACTGGGCTTCCCGCTCTCCTGCTGCCATGAGGACTTACCCCTGAATCCAGGTGGACCTCTCTCTCCAGGAGGGCCCTTCAGCCCGGGGTGTCCAGGCAGTCCAGCATCTCCTCGGGGCCCGGGCTGGGCTCCCAGAACTTCTCCAGGAAGGCCCCTGTCCCCTGGGGGCCCGACAGGGCCTGGCAGACCAGTGGGACCTGGGTGTCCATCTGGGCCAGGAAGGCCCACTGAGCCTTTGGATCCTCGGGGCCCCACGAACCCTGAAAGAAAACACAGGTCATCCCCGTAACTGCAGGTTAGTATCATGATGGTCCTAGAGAGGTATCAGGTAGAGGCTGGAAACAGCAAGGTTTGTGTGAGGGCCTCCGCTCATGCCCTGTCTCCCACCTTGGGACCCACAGCATCCTGGTCCCCCACACCATCTGGCCCCCAGCCCTACAATTCAGCTAACATGGAGGCATTAGAACCATCTGCATCTTAGACATGGATCTTCGTGATTCATGGGCTCCCTGTTGTACAGATGATCCCCACAAATGGTTCACAAATGGACCTTCCAGGCTCCGTGTGCAAGTGAGAACAGAAACCCAGGGGTGGGAACAATTAGATCCTTTGGAGCCTGGGCTCTACCTCCCTGGCTGTCAGGCTATTTGGAAACCCTCTAAAGGGAGACCAAGAGCCCTCTGTTGAACTGTCAGCTGTCTGCATCAGATGGAAGGATGGTGGCTGTCACATGCTTGAGCCTTTCCTGGGTGACTTCCCCTGTCTGCGCCCTTACCCTCCGATGTGACCTCGGACTAAACTCCAAGAGAGGGCCATCTCATGTCAGCTCAGAAGGACAGCTTTCCGAGGCCACTGCTGCCTGGGCCGAGGCGTGCCGGGAAGGAAGGCACTGCCTGTCCATTTTGTGTGGTGGGCCTGACAAACAAGACGGCGGGTGTGGGGTCCCAGGCTTTTTCTAGGACAACAAAGCTCGCCACACCCTGTCTGGAAGACAGGTTGATCCCAAAGGCCATGGCTGGAACACAGAACAGAGGATCTGGACCTCTTGGGAGTATTCCTGAGCTGGCCCCTATGCCAGAGTTTCAGTGGTGTGTTTTTTTCACGAACACCAGAGATAGCCTCTGCAGCTGGCCACTTCCTTTCTTCTGCACATGTGGTAGTAGTACCGGATATTCCATATTATCAAAAGTGACACATGCTCCAAAACTGAATAATAGGCCAGTTTCTTGTTAACCTCTTTCCTCTGTTCTACCCCAATCTCCCTCTTCAAGTAAAGGCTCACGTTTCAGTACAGAACAGGCTTCCTACAAATACTGTCAACTCCCAGAGTCTCCCGGTGACAGGCACCCCCCACACACCTCTACGGCAGGTGCACAGTCTGGACAGTTTGCGCCCCCATGGCTGGCACCACAGTGGAGGACCAGGTACCCTTCCCATTCAAGGCAGGCAGGTACTAATGGATCATTATCCTCCCAAGAACTTCACACTTTGCTCTAGTGTGTGTGACATCCCTGGAGGGACAAAGCCTTATCTCCTAGGTGTCTGAGTGCTCCAAGCAGGGCAACAAAGCGATACAGGCGGTATCTACTGTGGTGGTGGCATGAAAACTGTCCCGTGTTTCCCTGCAGAGCAGGTTTTTGCCAGCGCCTTGATACACAGGGAGCACGCCTCCAGATCTTGCAAGACATGGAGACATACGTGGCATGAGAGGCGACAGGATGAAAGCTGCGGGCAGTCTCATGGGCTGGAGCACTGACTCCAGGGAGAAAGTCCACCGGTTTGACCTGGGCTTGTGGTTAGGGTTAAACCAGCTGCCACGCTGTGAGACAAGCAGGAGGCAAAATTCAGTCAGTCTTTGCCGCAAGTACTGGCTAAGGGTCTCTGATCTGTGTGACAGTCTAGATGTCAGCAGTGTTCTCTTTAGTTTCTGGAGCCTGGTTTGTAAGGAATGTGGACCAGCCAGAGGTCACGATGCCGAGAGCGTGGAGATCTGCACTCTGGAGGGCTGCTCCGTCCATTCGTTCTGTGGCAAAGGGGGTGATGCAGCCGTGGGCTCCCCATGAGGGGTGCCCGTGCAGAAGCAGAGTAGTTGGCTCAGGGGACAGGCAGCCAGAACTCACCGCAAGCAAGATTTCATTCCCACTGACAAAGGACTTTGTAGTAACGAGTTTCAACATTTCACAAGTGCTGGATGACAAGAGCGACTCCACTACAGGCTGGGGAAACCACAGACCAGGACACTCGGATGTTTGGTCTTGGGTGGCCTCAGGGACCTTGTTAGTCCTGTGTCAACAACACAACTCTGCATCGTGTGTGCCTCTACACACCAAGTGACAGCCATGACCGCTCACGCCACTGGAGCTGGAGCTGCCTGGGGCAAGTGTGTTTGGAGACAGGTATCAGCGGGGAGGCCGACATGTCTCTGTAGGTCTCCCACAGTTCATTGCTGGTGACACATTCATTTCCCTCCAGTTCCAGGAAAAAGGCTTATGCTCTTTTAGCCAGTCATGGCTTCTGGAAATTCTTTGCTGTGTTGAATGCAGAGGTAACGGCTTGCTCAGAAGAGTGCAAGCTAAAGAGTAAGCAGGCAGTGCCGTGGAAAGTGGAACACAGGTGCCCTTTGCTGTTTGGTGAGTGGTCAGCAGGCTGGAATCGATGACCTGAGGGCATTGTGCCTTTGGGGACAGCCTTATTAGAGGACAGCATCATGTGGCCTTTGGAGTGTCTGACATCCACCAGAGAAATCGTTCTGTACCTGTCTCTTTCTTTCCTGCAGGTGCTGTAGGGATCTTATGCAAAACTCCAGCATAACATTAGTGATGGAAAGGTCGAGAATTTTTAAATTCCCAACCACAAGAACAAAGTGCTCATCAAGCCTGTTTCTGAGTGTCCAAAGCCAAGAGCGTGGGGGCACCAACGTTGCATGCAGTCACCTCCCGAGCATAAGGGGCTGTGTGTGTGTGTGTGGGTTCAACCCTGCCTTACCTGGGGGTCCTGGGAATCCTTCGCGACCTGGGTCTCCTGGGAGACCCCTGAGCCCCGGTGTTCCGTCAGCTCCTGACAGTCCTGGTATTCCTTGGAGGCCCTTGGCACCTAAACAACCCGAAGAAAGCACGACACACGTCAGAGCCCCACAAGCAAACCCCTGAAATGACAGGGTGGGTGTTCAGAACCCACCTAACACGGTCCTTATGATCCTGGGAAATGAGGCTGGGGGATGTCAACTGGAAATGGCGCTCCTGACAGCTGGCCACACCTACTGCAAACCCCACCAACCCAGCAGTATCCCTCCACCCCTTGCCAGATGCACTGGTAGGAAGTCTTCCCTCCAGATGTTGGCCATAACCTGCACCCAGGCCAGTCTACCCAGACTTGAGAAATGCTGAACTTGTATTCCTTGTAACCAACACCTGTGACTGAAGAGGGTCGGACCCGCTAAACGAACTGATTCTTTACCACTGGGCATCTTTGATCTGAACCTCTTCATATGGGAAGCAAACTCAGGATATTTTTTTCTGGGGGTCTCCACGCCTGTCTGGCCTGAGGCTCTTGGAAACCACAGTCAGTGCACCTGCCTACTGCAGGCGGCTAGGCGCTAGGCGCTCCAGGAACCACCGAGACCTCCTGCAAATACCAGCAGTGAGAACAGCAGCCTCCTCTCTACAGTGTGTGAGGCAGCATGCACGCAGGTGCTGGCAAGGCAACAGGTGGACAGGGGTGCAGGTTCACTGTGGGTCCCAGCCTCTCCGGGCTCCTGTCCCCTTCAAGATGTCCCTGCAGGCCATGAGGGTTCAGCTGGCGCTTTGCCATCATGTAGGAGGGGCCAAAGCCAGCATCTTGTTGCTGGGGACAGAGAGGGGTGGGACCCTTCCCTTGGGCTGGAGAGAGCAGGGGGGGTTTGTGCGGGATCCACCAGCTCTCCCAGAGGGCCCCATTTCTTGAGGTTCCTGTTGAGGGGAGGCTGGATTTGGGAAAACACAGTGTGGGAACATAAGCTCAGCCCTACTCTTCATAAATGCACAGATTATCCAAAATTCCCCACTGATGAAATGATGCCCTTAGACCATCTCTCCCCAGTGTAACCAAGTGATTTTAAACAAAGCCCTATACTTGACTGTGGAGATGGGGAAGGAGCAGTTGGAACCAGAAGTGCCCACAAATGACATTCTCAGTAATACACGACCCTGCTGCTCAACACTGTTGCTCTGATGGAGACACAGGGATGGAGTCAGACCCACAGGTGCAGGAATGTACTCGTTCAGAATTCCAGGACGTCTGTGAGTCTGTAGTGTGGACATGGTAGAGAAGAGAATAAAAGGGCTTTGTGTGGAGGATGTCCTATGTGAGTATAAGGTTCCATAGACTAAAGACAGAATTTTTCAAGTTGTTTGAAGTGAAGATGTATTTGAGGAGCTCAACTTGTCAGTCTCTGAAAGGAAATCCCAGTGGGGCCTCAGGGCAGGTGCACCCAAAATGAAGATAGGATACAGAGCCTTGGACATGCTGCCTCCAGTTCTCCTGCTGCCTCCGGGTCAGGGGCCCGGGCCCTTCCAGGGGACCTATGTGTGTGGGAAGCAGCACAGAGCATTTCTGCAAGCCCACCATCACCTTCTGGATGGAGAATTAGTCTGCAACAGAGATGTGGAATCTATGCACTCGCTGAGCTTCATGGTGTCAAAACATGATCCAAGTCCTCCCCTCGCACTCAATTCATGTGTACTTTTGGACCTGCTTCCACCCAGTCACTGCTGAAAACCCACCATCTGCTGCTTGCTGTGCCTGGGGCCCCCCGGTTAGTGGCTGTGCTGGTGTCTGTGGATAGACAGACTCATGCTGAGTCCTCAGAACACAACCCTGCATCATGTGCATCCTTCTGCATTTCATCCTGCTGTCCCCAGATCCTGTGACTACTCTGAGCCTAAGGAGAGCCCTTATTGTCTGGAATGTAGACTGTAAGGCAACGGACTTCTCCAGTCATGAGGGCTGTCTCACACCTCCTTGGCACTTCACAGTTTATACAGGACCTCACTCACAGCGTATGACATGCAGTATTAAGGGCATTATTTGCAAAGCTGGAGGAGTCCAGAATGCCTGCATTAGTCTTCCTATTTAACCAAGAAGACCAAGTCCCACAAGGAATGAGAAGGATGCCCAAGGCCTCCTGGATAATGAGCGGAGCAGCAGATCCCACAGCCAGCTCCTGGCCACCTGCCACACACTCTTAGCCCAAAGTCAGCTGCCAGGGAGCAATCGAGGCGCCCTGCAGGGGCCAGGGTGCGAAAGTGTGTCTGTCTGTCCCAGGCTGACGGACACAGACCTCTGGGTGTCACCCAGGTTGCCCAAACCCTGCCCCTTATCTGAAAAGCCATTCATGAGCAGGTGCGTGGGTGGCTCCCAACACTGGGCTCAGCCACCTGGAACCTGACTCCATCATGTGGGTGCTTTGGGCGGGTGACCGCTTGCACCAGCTCACAAAGGTGGGACTGTAGGGACACAATGCTAGCCCTGTTCATTCCTGTTATCCTCCATCAAAATCCAGAAGAAACAATCGTGTCCCACAGGTCCTTCCCACAATGCTGGGACATGTAGGGAGAAAAGCTGCATGTCGAGGGGGCTTCCTTTCCCATCCCAGAGTGGCGTGCCACCCCCATTGGTGTCCCCTGACACCTGTGCCCTGGCAGAGGCTGAGCTCTGTGTGGAGGGCATTCTCTCCTACAGCCTGGGGTTCTATGAGGGGTTGGTGACCACGCGCCATCCACCGTGTGGAGGAAGAGCCTGCTTCCCTACCCAGGTACCAAGGTGGTGGAGCATGGTGACATCCAGGGTGGAGAGGAGGGCAGGGGCAGAGGGAAGTGGAACAAAGGGGTTGGAGGACAGTAGAGATGCAAGAGGAGGAGCCTGGGAGACCCCTCCCATTTACCTGTGGGTCCTGGGGGTCCTGGCAGGCCTGGCGATCCCATGGGCCCTCTGACACAATCTGAAAAGAGAGAGGAAAAGAGGTGAGCTGGGGCAACCTGCCACACCCACTCCCACGGTGTTGGGTATTGCCAAGGGTAGAAACAGCAGTGGTGGAACCTGGCCACCATTCTATGATTAGAGTAATTTAATGATTTAATCTTGATTCCAGTGTAACTAAAGGTTAAATTTCATCATGTAATGGATCAGAGCTTTTAGCATAAATGCCAGTGATGTCAGCCCAGTCAATAAACAGCACCGTGCTGGTGACACGTTCTCCCCCATCAAGGGCAACACGGGGGCTCATCCTTGTCTGCCAATGTGACAGATGTTCCCTGGTGATGCAGACAGTGTGTGATGCCATAGGAAATCTTTGACTTCTCCTTTGTGACTCTGAATACTTTCAGAATTAGCCAGGGCACTTAGCTCCTTAGAGCCATGAGATCTGAAACCCGGCTGCAGCCACTTCCAGTTGGCATGGCAGAGGGCAGTGGGTATAGCCTCTGCCTGATAGAGACCCTGGAGGCACAGCAGCTCTTCGAGCTGTGTTTTGTCTGTCTGTCTGGGATGTGGCCTCCTCTGCCGCATTACAGGTCTCTGGGTGCACACTGGCCAGCCCAGGCCATCCAGCCGGATAAAGGAAGTGGGAGTCTCCGGGGGGTACAGCCTCCAGCCTGCAGAGATGCACATTCAGGGACCCCCTCCCCAGCTCTGAAGGCTCTGCAGGATGCCCACTCTGCACCCTCACCCCACATGCTTGATCTGTCCCCAAATATCTGCCCCGACTTCATGCAGGGGACCCACAGATCCTGAGGCCACTTCTCCATTCTGACCTCGATCCTGAGAGTCACACCCAAACTTTTGCACCACACTTGGGACCTGCTGCATCCACATGTTCTACGACACCCTACACTCTGTGCATATCTCTTCAAAATCCAGACCGAGGGAGGCTGGCGTTCCCTTTGTACCCTGGATTCATCTTGGGTTCCCACTGGGATTCCTCGGTGGAATCCAGAGGCTCCTGCTCTCAGCACTGGGTGCGTCAGCCTCAGTGGGAGTGTCTTCTGTCCACTTTGCTAGCTCTGGGCCTTGGCTCAGGGTCACCACATGTCCCCTCTGATCTGTCAGCCCTTGTTCTTTCTAGCATTATTCATGGCTAGACCCAATTCTCTTCTGACAGATAGTGGACCACTCTTCATACAATTCACACGTAGGGGCAGAGAGACAAATACATGTATAGAACTTAAGTGTGACAGTACCTATCTGTTGAGTTCTTACCAATATTGTAGCTTGATGCTTCATATTAGTGGGAGAACCAGGCAATACTCTGCTTTATTACACCTGCCTTGCCTTTGATTACAAGCTGAAGCAGAAGGGCGCCAGCTCCAAGCTTTGCACATATTTGCATTTCTTACTGCAGCTCCATGCATGCTGCAGGAGCTCACAGCAATTGCTGATTTAGTCACATATTTTATTTTATTTTATTTTATTTTATTTTATTTTATTTTATTTTATTTTATTTTATTTATTTTTATTTATTTATGATAGTTACAGAGAGAGAGAGAGAGAGAGGCAGAGACACAGGCAGAGGGAGAAGCAGGCTCCATGCACCGGGAGCCCGATGTGGGATTCGATCCCGGGTCTCCAGGATCGCGCCCTGGGCTAAAGGCAGGCGCCAAACCGCTGCGCCACCCAGGGATCCCATAGTCACATATTTTATAAACCAAAAGCTTTAACGTGTCCCAAAGTGTCCTGGTCCTCATTACAGTACCTGGCTGCACAGCCTCCTGTCCGTCACCTCCGATGGGCCTTTTCACGCCTGTGTCACAGTCTGGGGACAAGACACAGGCAGGAGTGAGATGGCTCTGCAGCAGCTAGCTGGCAGCTAGAGACCTCCCCATGGCTGTGAGCTGGCGGGGGACTGCGCTGGCAGGGAACCCAGGCTCATTTCTGAGCTTCTGCACAGAGTCCCTGTGACCCCAGCACCCGAGGGAGAGGCCCACCCAAGTGAGACTGAGTCTGGTGGGCCTGGAAAGCCCCACAGTCAGGGAGGTTTGAACATACCAAGAACTGATAGCACAACATGCATCCTCACGGGGCCCCCAGGGGAATTTGCACATTGCCAAAGATAGAGAGGGTGTTGGAGCCCATGTCCCATGGCTGAAAGATAGGAGAGGGGGTTTCTCCATACCTATTTGTCCTGGAGTGCCTGGGGGTCCGGGGGGGCCTGGAAAGCCTTGGGGTCCAGGTAATCCGGCATCTCCGGGGAAACCACGCTCGCCTTTGGGGCCAGGCAGGCCCAGTCCGGGGGGGCCCCTTTCTCCTGGAGCGCCCTTAGTACCGGGTGCTCCTGGGTAACCCGAGTCCCCAGGGGGGCCTTTGATACCATCACCCTGTGTGGAAATTATGTTTATCTCTTAAAACACACATAAACCTCAAAGGCGCCATAGCTCAGCTCTCCTTCCCATTCCCCCAAGTTCTGTGTGATGGATGCAGAGCGGAAGGAGGGCAGACATGGACAGGCACCTGCTGTCACCATCAAACCAAGCACAGGAATCAAGGCAGGTTTTATAACAATCACAGTGACAAATGGGAGATGGTCCCGGGAGGCACACAAATCTGAGTGTTTGCTGTCCTCACCCAAGCCACCCTCCTCAGTTGGAACCTTCGTTCCCGGGAAGAATTCTGACGGGGGCAGTCAGGCACAGGCTCAGACTAATGGGAGCAGGAACATGTCGTTTCTACTGCTCTGAGCAGGCAATGGGACGTATCCCCTATTCACAGGGGCGATCCATTGTTAAAGGAGAGGAGTCTTTGGTTTGGGCCAGAAAGAGCAGCATGCTCACTGGACACAAGGAGACAAGACAGGATGGAAAAAGCAGGGTGCTCCCTGGGGATGACACTGCCCAGCAGGTGCAGAAGGTGGTGGGGTAGTGAAGGGTTAAGAGGGGGCTGTGGGCATGCGGGTCAGGGGATTGATGTTGGCAGGGGTAAACATGCAGCTGGCTTCATGCTGAGCATATCTGAACGAGCCAGTGGGACAGCCATGTGGACAAGTCCCAGGGTGTCCGCCTGAGAGCTGCGCATGAGGCTGGGATGCTCCAGCACAGGCTGCGGCCCATCTCTGCTCCTGAGCGTCCCCACCTCTCTGACCCTCCCGAGGCTCCCAGCCCCGCTGAGACCTGAGGACCACAGACAGGGACCCACACTCCATGCCGATGAGCTGCAGGAGTGGCCTGTGTGTGCAGGCTGGAAGACTCGTGCACGGCTGGAGGCAGCGGTGTGCTAGGACAGTGGTGCCAAGCAAACTCTTTTTGAAAATGATTTTCAGGGTGGTAACTAAAAAAGCAATATTAGGGTAGTAATAATCCAGGTGTTTTCCATGAGCCCAAGAGAAGTGCTCTGAAAACCTGACTGTGTTGTGGTAGGAAGGACCCATGTGGAGCAGAGAGGCCTGGCTTTGGAATGAAGCGAGCAGGCCTGCTTGGGGAACTGTGGTGTAAACCTCTGCTAGGGACATGTGGCGGGCTGAACCACATCCCCCACAAGATGCTGGAGTCCTGACCCCCCCACCTGAGGATGTGGCTGCTCTGGAAACAGGGTCTGTGGGGCCATCAGGGTAAGGTGAGGCTGCAGATGGGGAGATTTGCATGCAGCATGCATGCAGGGAAGATGAAGTGAAGACACAGGCAGGACACTGCCAGCTACAAGCCAAGGGGCATCTGAGGCCACCAGAGCCTGGGGGAGAGCCTACAGTGGGTTCTGCCTCAGGGCCCCATTCTGGGCTCGCCTTCTGTGCTCCACAAGGAGGAATCTCTGTGGACTCTCTAATCTTCTATGTGCCCTCTGGGGGCTCCCCACCCACCTCCTGTGCCCTAACAAACAGGGTTTCTGCTGGTTCAAACAGCCTGGCTGTGCTGGCTGGATTCAGCGCAGCGCCAGCACTTGGGCCCTGGGGTAATTGAGGCCGAGACCTATCAGGACCAGGGCCGCGCCAGCCCCACACTCGTGTTACTCACAGGAGGGCCTGGGAGGCCTGGGAATCCATCCAGCCCATCACGCCCGGGGACACCATCATCACCTTTCAGCCCAGGCACACCTGGGACACCTGGCTGTCCTCTCTCACCTGGGAAAGGATTTGCCATGTGATGCTTCTCATACAAGAGCAGCCACAGAACGGCTGTGGGTCCAGGGACTCCTGGCCCCCAAAGACTGACCTTTGGTGGTGATTGCTCTAGAATCCCCCTTCAGCCCTTTCGGCCCGGGAGGTCCAACGGTGCCAGGGGCGCCCTGTGGGAACAAATACACAGTGTCTTCCTCCATTCTGTTAAGGACAGCTGGGAAGATGACCAGTTTCATGGTATACAAGTTGGGAGCCTGTTCCCCTCATCAAGCCCAGTGCTGCCCCAAACAACTCTTTGCTGTAGGAGAGATGTTCTGTAGCCGGCTGTCCACGTCAGTGGTCCCCAAATACAAATGGCCACTGAGCCCTTGAATATGGCCTGTGCAACTGACTTTTAAATTTCAAATAATTAAAACTTCATGTAAGTAGCCATACTTGGCTGGATAGTAAAAACCAGAACCTCACTGCTCAAAGTGTGGTCCATAGACCAGCAGCCTTGGCCTCTTCAGGGAGCTTGTTAGAAACACAGTATCTCAGCAGTCCCCCATCCCTCCCCACTGCCACTGACCTAGAATCTGTATTTCAACCAACTCCTAGGGAGCCACATAGTCATGAACTTTTGGTAAGCAATGATCTAAAACACAAGATCAACAACTCTTAATGACATTATTTAGAATCTGAGCAAGTACTCCAGGTACAAGGGATAGAAATTTGTGTCCACTCAATATTGAGAGTAACAGCTTGTCTTCTGGACTGAAATTAAGGTTGGAAAAAAAAAACCTTCATATTATAGAGACAAGCTCATCGCAGGGACACTCATATTTTAGGTTGTGAAATCTAGTGTAGGTCTTTTAATGAACAGAAATGAGCAGGTTAGTGGGTCAGGATGTTAATGTGTGATGTGCTCATTTTCGGGAAATCTTGGTTGTTATTATTTGCAAGAATATGGGAACTTTCAGTGTTGGTCTAATTAAACGGGGAATGTTCTGAAAAATTCTACAGATACTTGATTTATTGATTCAGTTCTTTGCAGAAAAGGGCAACATTCTTTCAATGCCAGGAGAGTGACACACACAGATGGCGCTCAGTACGTAGGTGCTGGGCAAACTGATGGCTGGATGAATTCTTTTACTGACTGGCTCCCACACTTCAAATGTTCTCCCAAACTCTATTGGTACAAACATTAAAAATACAAAACAAAACAAAACAAAAACCATCCCAGGCCTTCTCACTGGAGCAGGGTTGCCAGACACATAAACATATCATTATACGCAAGACAACAGACACAATGCCAGCGGTCTGTGGACAAAGATGGTGTGGGCATGTGTGTCATACAGCTGGTGGAGGGAGCATGGGTCCTTGGAAGATTGTAGACATTCCAGGTGCACAAAACGGGGTCCATTTGGCTTCTAGGAAATATTTGATAATTTTATAAACAAGCAAAGATCCTACTAGTTTTGCTCCTCGTAAGTTCACAACCCTCACTACAAATGTGTTCAAGTGCTAAGACGGCCATGATTTGGAGACAGAATCATGATAAAACATAGTGCCTGCCACTTTTAGTTGGATAAAACCGTTTGTGCTTGAGAAATCTCTGAGGCACGCCATGGAGGGGGCTGTGGATCTCATTTCACCTACAAAGCTCTGGTGCCACAAAGCAGTGAGGAGTGACAGCCTTGCTGTGGCAGCTCCGTGTGGCTGCTCATCCCCAGTACCAGCTCACGGAGCCAGGTCGCTCTTGGCCTGGTGCCCTGAGCACTTTTTCCTCTCTTGCTGAACAAGTAAAATAATAGACTTTTCACATTGTAAATCTCTTGAAACACTCTTTTTGAGTGAAATAAGAAATAACAAGGCATATTTTGCCTTTATCTGAAACTGGCTTTGAAATCATTGGTTAAAACCTCTTGCCAAAGAAAGATCTCTAGATGCTCTTTCCATAGGTGTGAAATAAAGTCTGTTTAGTTGATACACACGGGGAATCCACGGGCAGGGAAGTTCAGATATCCCCGGACATTCATGGTTCACTGGGAGGTCTCACTTCTTAGCTGGTTAAGGGAGACATCATAAAATGCTTAATCATTTCTGTACTAAATTTGAAAAGATTCAAATTCAGTGGAATGTTTTACATTCAGGATGCTGGGTTCTGTTTTTGTTTTTTTTTAGGTCTGATTCATATACGGTAAAATTCACCATTTTGAAGCATACAATTTGGTGTTTTTTCACAAGATTGTGCAAGCATCACTAATCTCTAATTGCAGAACATTTTCATCACCGCCCTGGAGAAGACCCCACAGCCATGACACACTCACTGCCATTTCCCTCTCCACCAGCCCCTGGAGGCCCCGACCTGCTTTCTGTCTCTAGATCTGGTGGCCCTGGACACTTCCTAGGAATGGCATCACACGACACCTCCTGGACTTTTAAGTTGTTTCTACCTTTTGGCTTTTATCATCAATGTGCTTTGAACACCTGTGTACAAGGTTCTGCGTGGACGTGTGTGTTTTGGATCCTCCAGGCGCCCAGCCAGGGGTGTGTGGGTCCCGGACACCTGGCAGCTCTACCTCTGACTTTCTGAGGAAATCTCAAACCACTTTCCAGAGCAGCTGTGCCGCTCACCTTGTCACCAATAACTGTTTTACAGTTCCTCTCGAAGCACGGGGTTGTTTGAATGGAGCACTGGGTACACGGCATTGCTGGTCTAAATCTATGTTTGCTTAAGCAGAAGCTGTCAAGGACGTCCTGTCAGCTTTGAGAGAACTGGTGTCTCACCTTGAACCCTGGGAACCCAGGGATGCCATGCTGGCCAGGGTCGCCCTGGCTCCCTTTCCTCCCTGGCTCCCCATTGATGCCCGGGAAGCCCTTGGGTCCTGGCAGCCCCGGGAGACCCCCGACGAACTGATCGCCTTCCGCACATTTACAGTCCCCAGCGTCACCTGCAATGTGAGGAAAGACTCGTTATTTCCTTGTGAAGCGTGTGCTGAACACTCCTCCTGGCTTTGCAGGGGACAGAAGTCCAGGGCAGTGGGGGCTGGGGTGACAACGAAGCACTCTGGGGCCTTGTCTACTCCTGAGCTTGCTGGGGACCGGTACCCTTTGCCCCTGTTTCCTGGATGAGGAGCAGGGGTACCTGCTCGGGATGCAGAATGCAATGCTGCCACGTTTCCCCAGCACGGTGAACAGCAGGCCACTGACAGAGGTGGGTGTGCAGCTTGGGGGAGATGGTGTTCCAGAGTCTGGGGGATAGGAGGAGACTTGGGGAGGGGGCCTGGCTGGCACTCTGGGCTCAGAGGCCAAGCTCCTGGGTGGGAGGCAGGAAATACTTGGCCTCCTTTCTCAGTGTTGCTACAGTGGGGCCTAGGGAACCCACTGCTGGTGGCACAGGTGACTGGTGGTGGCTCATGGGGACAAGTGCTACACAGCCCTCCGTGGGGTCTGACTCCTGCAGTTGGCCCTGTCCATTGTGGGGCACCCGCATGCCCACACGTCCCACGTGTGCCACAAAGGTCGGGGTGCGCGGCCTGGGGCCACCTTCCTCAGAATGGAAGGGGTGCAGCATATTTCTCAGCTAGAAACTCCCTCTTCCTGCTCATTCAACCGCACCTCTCCCACCACCTGGGGGGAAGCTGCTGGGGACCTGCCCCGTCCTGCCTGGCTGGTGACTAAGCCCTAACTCAGGGGAACATGGGTAGGATCAGCTGTGATGACTACTCTATGGGTCTCTGCAGTGGACGAGCTCTCAGTGCTAGTTATGCTGCCTTCGAGCTGAGTGCTTGACAGAACCATCTGATTCAGCCCAAGAGGTCACAGCTCTTCTGCTTTGTGCCCCCCAGGCTCTGCATCCCTGAAAGTTCAGTGATGAAGGCAGTGACAGAGATGGGAGAAAGGAGGGCAAACACAGGGCTGGGAGCCTGGACAGTGCGGAGGGCGCCACACACCCCAGGGGGGAACGGGGAAACATCCTGGAAGAGGGGGTGGCTGCCCGCCCTTCCTCCAGCATTTCCGACGACACTCCTTACCTTTCCATCCTTTCTGTCCGCGAGCTCCAGGGAAGCCAGAAGGTCCAGGGAACCCTGCACTCCCTTCTGTTCCCTTCAAGCCGAAAAGGAAACCTAAGGAGAAAATCCACAAGGATGGTCGTGAGTGCAACCTGGAGTGCTCCCCGGACCCAGGGTTGGAAGGGTCACCGCCAGGTCTCCCAACAGAGTGTGCAATCCCTTTCTGGGACCCCCTTTTGTGGCCACAGCTCCCACCCCCCATTGATGGAAGGAACGGCAGGAACCTATTATGGGTTTTTCTAATGAAGTCTAGAGATAACAATCTTTGCTTTCAGGAAACATGGAGTCCAAAGAAAGGTTTTTCACTTTTCAGCCACATATTTTATTCTATTACTGTTTTTTTTTTGTTTCTTAAGATTTCATTTTTACTAATTGTGCTTTCTTGTTTTTAGTTTCCCATATAGTCTGAAACTCTGAATAGTAAACAAATTATTTTATAATAATTAAAAAATATATTTTCATGTCAAAAACCAGACATTTATATATTGAGGGGACAAGTGACCAAGTGACGTCTTTACAATATCTCTGTATAATCAACCACATATTTTATGTGGTAAGACTCATATTCTAAGACCAACACAACTTGGGTTCCCCAAAAGACAAAAACAAAACAAAACAAAACAAAAAAAACAAACCAAACCAAAACCAAAACCAAACTAAACCAAAACAAACCAAGGTATTGACATGACTTCGGTTCCCCATTGTGCTCCCCTGGAGCAGGTGCACACATGGGTTTGCATGGTTCATGCAGACAGCATGGGGCCACCTGGCTCCAGCGCGCCACTTCCCCTTTCTCCACCCTCACCCCCATGACAGGATCAGGGCCCCTCGGAAGTCCTGTCTGGAACATAAAAGACACCTAACTCTGGGAGACAAACAAGGGGTAGTGGAAGGGGAGGTGGGTGGGGGATGGGGTGACTGGGTGACGGGCACCGAGGGAGGCACTTGGTGGGATGAGTACTGGGTGTTATGCTATATGTTGGCAAATCAAACTCCAATAAAAAAACATACAAAAAAAGAAAAAAAAAAAAAGGAAAGAAAAAAAGAAAAGAAGCCTATCCGGGCTGCAGGCTCCCATCCATAAGTCCTGAGCAGGGGTTCCAGGAAGCCTCAAAACCAGGCTCTCAGGCCAACGCTCTCCGCATCTTCTCGACAGCAGCGCCACCTGGTGGTGGGGACGAGCAACCCCCCAGCGCCCCTGGGTCAGGTTGGGAACGTCCCCCAGTCTGTCCTTGCTGCCAAACCCTACGGTGCTTGCAGCCCAGATCTAGAACCCCCCAACACACTGAAATACCTGCTGCCATACCCACCTCACAGTACCAGGGGGAGCTAGAAAGAGGCACCAAGGAAGCTGGAAGGAGAGGAAACACTGACTTTAAGGGCATTTGCTGTTTGGAAAAGCGACACCAGAATTTGAAGGTCAGAAAGCTCCTAGGTCACTGTATGTATGGAAGGGCAGCTGGCAGTTCAGTTTCACCACATTTGCGACAATCTCTCTCACTTATGCACCGGTGCACCTGTGCCAGCCCAGCAGTGCACCCAGAGTTGTGCGTACAGAGAACATCGCACACCCTCACCTGCTTACACCTGAGGCCACCAGTCAACAAACCAACACAGAATTTCAACGACAGCCAGGGCTGTGCAAACAAGGGCTTTCAGAGAGAGAGTAACAGAGGAAGGCTATTTATTTATTTATTATTTATTTATTTATTTATTTATTTACTTTAAAAGATTTTATTCAAGAGAGACACAGAGAGAGGCAGAGACACAGGCAGAGGGAGAAGCAGGCTTCCTGCAGGGAGCCCGATGTGGGACTCGATCCCCAGACCCGGGGTCACACCCTGAGCTGAAGGCAGACACTTAACCGCTGAGCCACCCAGGTGCCCCAGAGGAAGGCCATTTAAAATGGGGCATCAGGAAAGCTCTAAGACCTGGTGCCCAGGACCTAAAGAAGCGATAGTAGCTGAGAGAGGGCGACAGGGACGGTTCCAGAGAGAGCAGGAGCGTGTCTGAAAGCCCCTGAAAGACGAGGAAATCCAGGAATCCGAGGAGTGGTAAAAGGGCCATTGAGGGGCTTGGATTTCAGCCCAAGGGCATCAGGGAGCCATTCAAAAGATTTCTTTCTAAAAGTAGTCTTCAGGGATCCCTGGGTGGCTCAGCCGTTAGGCATCTGCCTTCAGCCCAGGGCATGATCCTGGAGCCCGCATCAGGCTCCCTGCATTGGAGCCTGCTTCTCCCTCTGCCTGTGTCTCTGCCTCTCTCCCTGTGTCTCTAATGAATAAATAAATAAAATCTTTAAGAAAAAATAAAAGTAGGCTCTATACTCCAGCACGGAGCCCAATGTGGGGCTTGAACTCACTTCCGGATAGTGCAGGAGGGACAAGGAAGTACCAACAAAGGCTCTCAGGGAGAACAGGCAGTGGGATGAGAGGGCACCACGGAAGGCCAGTGAGTGTAGAGGGCTGCCAGCTGCACCCAGTGACCACTGAGCAGGATGTTGCCCCTGCGATGTGCTCTCAGCTCCTTGGCAACCAGGTCAAGGGCATTCAGGCCCCGGTGGACTTTGTGGGCTTTATTTTATGCCTCCAAGTTCTCCCAATGTTGTGAGAAGTGCAGCAGACAGGTAGGCATTTGGTTTCAGATATTTCAGAGATGTCGGCATTTTAAGTTTGACATAGACTGTGGGTGTTCCTTGTGTGGTTGGAGACTCCAGTGGCCATCCTTCCTCTGTCCTCTGTGCTTTCTTTATCTAATAAACTAGTAATTCCAGACAAGTCCTACAGCATATCAGTGCACCTCTCAGACGTTTTCAAGATGATTTTCCCTAAAAGGCCAAGGGCCATCGCAATGCTGGCAGGATTCTGACTTATTCTAAAAAAAAAAAAAAAAAAAAAAAAAAAGAAACTGCCCTGACACTTGATTCAGTTAACTCAGCTAGAACCAAGAGTTAGTAAAATATTTAGCTCAGAAAGAAAACTGACTTCACAGTTTGGTTCTGTGGGAACTGCAAAAAACTAAAAATTCTGGTTTTCATTAGCAACCAACACACAAAACAGGATGAAGGGCAGTTAGCAAGAAAGGAATCCAACGATTTCATTCCAGGCGAAAAGCTAAAGCACTCTGCGGGAATCCAGGTCACTGGTATTAAATTCTGACTATGCACAACAAAGTTTTAAAAGGCCATTATGGTTGGCTACTTTTTGTCTAAGAGATTGCTTTTTTGAAAAAGTGACTTGGAAACAATGTGTTCATGGGGTAAAATAAATATTTCAAGGAGAATTTAAGTTGTATGGTTTTCATATCTTAGGTTGATAAAATTTATTGGATTCTCTTCCATGCATTTTATGAATAAAATATGCACAAGAAACTGATCCATCTGCAGATACATTAGTAAATCATAGACTTACTAATAAGCAAGATTTATAAAGCAAGATGGTGTCTGTATCTTTAACGAAGCAGAATTTAGTTATTGGGACAATGGCAAGGTCAGCCTTCCCCCACACTCCCTCAAGGAGGCAAATTTTTATGCTTTAAAAATTTTTTTTTTAACACATCATGTTCTTTTGCCAAAAAGGAAAACTTATGAGATAACATTTAGTCAGGAAACATAATGCCCATAGAAACTTGGCCGTAATCACTGATGTCATCACAATAAATATGACTTCCAGGATAAAAATATATGACAGATAACACAGCTCAAACTCTGGTAAATTCCAAGGAGTTATCTACACCTAAAAATTTTCAGAGGAATGTAAGAATCTGGCTTTGCCAGTTGAAGGGAAATTGGAACAGTAGGGCCATGTTAACTTAGACATTTACTGTAGAAGACAAAAGGGAATCAGAGAAGGGATTGCTGATTTCTCAATGGAAGAAGTAGGTGCGCACATGCTTCTACGACCCTCACAATCATTCCTCTCAAGGAATGGGCAGAGAGAAGCAGACATCCCAAAGCAGCGAAAGCACAGACCAGAACCTGACCTGTACATGAAACCAAACACTACCTGTTGGCAATGGGAAGCTTTCCCTGCCTGGAGATTGGAAACTCTAAGAGATTGCTGGGGGTGGGGAGGCAGGATACCAGGAAAGTTAAAGTCTAATATTTCAAACACTGGCTGATAGACCATGGACCCTATCACATAGAAAGAAATTGTGACCTCATGTTTTCTTCCAAAGCTTCATTTATGCAAATTCCTGAAGGGATGAAATGTTCCCACGAGGAGATTTTACAAAGTCTAGAACTACCCTTTAAATGTGGAAGCCGAAAAGATAAGTGTTTTTGGTGGTAAGCTCAAAGACAGACCGCACGTCTCCCTGCATCCTCGGAGCGTTCTCCACTGATAGAGGAGCCAAGGAAACATGGGACCTTGGCAATACACTCTGCACTAGTACTCTACGCTGCCCCCCCGCCCCCGGCGGCGAGGGGCCCAGAAGCTCATGCTCATCTGGTTTACAGACCCTCATTGTCTCTCATCTCAGGCTCGGCCAATGCAGTCACCTCTTCCTGTTGACTGCTGTCACCTGTTCAGTTACACAGCTCTGCTGTGCATGGGCTGAGAAGGCGGATGATCAAGTCTGCTAAAGATCGCTGTGAAACAGGGGAGAGGCTACAAGCCAAGGCAGGAGGCCTCCACCCTGGAAGAAGGTGACAGAGCAGATCACATCGACACTCGACGGATTTCAGCTTGCACCTGCTTCCTGACTGCACCGCTCAGATGTGCCACTGCAGAGCTGACACCCCTGGAGCCACAGTCAGCCAAACCCTGGGTCACGTCCACGGGCCTGCTGATACTCAGCAGATTCCCTCATCACTGGCTTTTCTGTTTGTGCCCCAGGGCACCTGCCACACCCTACTGCAATGCCTACTGCATTGGTTCATGGAATTATTTAGCAGAAAAACCCCGGTAAGAATCTGACAGGGGCTGGGCCTCTTGTCCGCACCTGAGTATCCTTCCACTTACCATCTGGTCCAGGTGGTCCAGCAGCCCCTGGGGGTCCTCGGAGTCCTGGCTTTCCATCAGTGCCTGGTGGGCCGGGGTACAGTGCAGGGATGCCTGGGTCTCCTATGAACCCTTTGGGGCCCATTTCACCCGGTAAGCCTCTCTTTCCATCTGAAAAATCCAACAGTGACCATGAGCAGCATGAGACTTGGGACATTTAACATCTGTGTTGGCATTCCCATCCCCCAGAGGCCACCAGGAACCCATGAGCTCACAGTCCAATCAGTAGCTTAAGGATAGATGCTCTCACTAGATTTCTTCACCATATTTCCACCTCAAGAAAACTCCCCAACAATGGTGTGAGAATTGTAACCCTGGCCACGAGGAATGGCCACTGCCCACACTCATCCCAGTCAACAGCATCATGCTCGTTGCTTGTCAGCGGCACAATCCAGCCCTGTGTGTATTGCACATTGCAGGTCAACTGCTCCCCAGAAGACCTGTGGCACAAGCCCCCTAACTGGTTAGAGCTGCTGAGCCTCCTCTGCATGAGAGGCCAGCTGCAGAGCCAAGTGGTCAGTAAGGGCCCAGGGCTCTCTGTAAACACCTGTTGGGGGTGGGGGGGACACACTTCTGATACCACAGAGCTGATTACCTTCATCTCTGATGGATGGGCCGGGGAGACCTGGTGGGCCCGGGTCTCCTGGTTCACCTCGGCTTCCTGGATCCCCGTGGGTCCCTGGGAATCCTGGGTCACCTCTGGCACCTGCAACCGAGATGGGCCCCATGGTAAGAACAGGACTGCTTCCAGGACCCACTTGAAGTGTGCACTTTTCCACCAAATGTGTATTTATTTGTTGTATGTCTCGTACATGCAGTGAAGGGTGGTGGGGGTCCAAATGGTTAATATATGGCAGTCTCTACTTTTAAGGAGCTCATTCCTTTTTTTTAAAAAAATTATTTATTTACTTGAAAGAGAGAGAGAGAGAGAGAGAGAGAGACGAACGGGGGGCGGGCAGAGGGAGAAGCAGAGTCCCCACTGAGCAGGGAGCCTGATGCAGGACTCGATCCCAGGACCCTGAGATCATGACCTGAGCTGAAGGCATATGTTTCACCAACTGAGCCACCCAGGGACCCCAGGGAGCTCATTCCTAATCAAATAGGAGCAATAAAAGATTCCCATAAATATCATAAAAGACTAGAGAAGCAGACAATGCCAAAAAGTTACAGATCTCGGTTTCAAAAAGGGGAAAGATTATTTTGGGGAGAAATCTGACATTGAGAACCACAGAGCATAAACATAACAGTGAGAGTAACATTTGGGAGCTCTTGCTGTGTGCTCTAGGCTCAGTGTTTAATACTTCATGTTCATCTGATTCCCACCAAGTCGTGGGGGCAAATGGTGCCACGGCCCCAGGTTTATGGACAGGTGAGGCATGGTGCTCATGGGCACTGAGGCTTCAGGACACAGCAGCCTGACCACTGGATACGGGTATACTGTGATGCAGGTGGGAGACAGACGGGGGTGTGGGGAATGGTGAACAGCTGTGGTGGGTATCAGGCGGGATAAACAGCTGAGTCTAAACGGGAATAACGAAGGGAATGGCAGGACTAGGGATCCCTGTGTTCATGGTGCTCAGCCCGGGAGGTGAGGAGGGCTGGTTCCTGTTTGAAGCCTCACTTCCTCAGGCCCGACTCCAGCCCAGAGCCACTTTCCATAGCTCCGTAGCTGCGTGATGGATGAGAACACAGGTGGGGGCTCTTACAGACCTTATTCCTAAACAAACAGAGAGTGGCTTCGAGGTGTTCTCTCACAGTGCAAACAGCAAAGCTTTACTGTAGGACACATTTTTCTGGACTATAATTGGGAAAAATGAGAGAAAAGACACTATGATGTTTTACTGTGTACGTATTACTAATTATTAGGAAAGCCATCACTCTGTATGGGATCTCAATGGGATCTTTAATTTTCTCATCTCAGAAGCAAGTCCTTAAATTAAGGAGAGGATGTGCCAGCATCATCCTTGATTTGTACACGCAAGGTGAGGAAAGTGGGGAGTCTGCTGTATGGGTGCTTATGCCCTGTGGAGAGGGGCGGGCATGGGGTGCTGGGCTCTGGACACAGGGGACCTGAGTGACCTTAGGTTCATTCATTACACACGTGACCTTGGGTGAGTCATAGAAGTTCTATACCTCAATATCTCCACCAGTAAAACAATGTGATGAGAGCAACTAAGGGGCCTGGGCCCCAGGGAGCACTGTGTGAATGCTAGCCCTCAGGAATGGGTAGGCAGAGACAAAATAAAAGTGAAAACCACAGATCCTCTCATTCATTAGGAAGAAGAGCAAGATTAATTGCTTTAGTTACCATGTAATAATTAAAAAAAAATACAAGTCTCCTCCAGCCGTGCGGGTTTTGACAAGCTCCTACAAGGCTACTTTGTGCAGATACGAGTATTCTCTTCCATGAGGGAATCCGCTCATTATCTGCCTGTTGTGCTCAGGAGCCCTCGCCTGCCAACTCACAATTTAAAACCATCACCTTCCCAGTGTGGTTTCAGAAATATGAGGTGGTGAAAACGGGAAATAGATGAATTCTGGGCTCTCAGTCAGTGATGTTTTTGAAAAATGGCCAACATTAATTTAAAAAAAATTATGTTCCCAAAGCCTCAAAGGCAGTCTTTCAATTTCAACCAAATCACTAACAGAAAGCGGACCTCATGTTCCTTTTCTTGGGGCTTCTGGCTTGGCAGGCGCGTCTGGACTCCACAGTCAGGAGGGCGAGGGTGAGTGCCAGCTGCCCGGGGAGGGCCATCCGAGGTCTTGAGCATGGATTCCAAATATACTCACTTATCCGTATGTGTTAATTTGCAAGAACACATGAAACCCAGCTATCTTTGTGTAGGGGACCTGATGGCATTTTTCCTTCAAGGCCACCCTGGAGGGAAATCTCTCGGGGGCTTCACTGGGCTCTGTCCTTAGCCCTGTGCTAATCTATGTTCTCATTAACATTGGGTGAACACATGCAAAGCTTGTTCTTAGATGGACAGGTGGTTCACACCAAGTGTATGACCCCTGGACACATATGGTAGGGAGAGCTAGGCCATCTACTAGGTACAGGGAAGTAAATATTAGACTGTCTTTATTAAAAAAAAAAAACAATGAACTCACACTTTAAAATCCCTTTCTGATTTGTATGAGGTAGGACATACACTTTTCAGTCCATTCAGGTACCCTACTACCTGCCTGGTACTGTTCTAGAAATCAGGGATGCAGCAATGAGCCACAGCAGCTAAAACCCTGTCCTCGTGGAGCTCTGTACAATGAGGATCCCCCATAAGTAAATACGCATACGATTATTCAGAGGGTGCTGAAAACATTTTTTTTCCTGACCTAGAAGGATACACATTTAAAAAGGTTTAAAGACCACTGCTCTTATCACAGAATTAGAATATTTCCATATGATCCTGTCAGTCTGGAAGGCTGAGTAAAATAACGAGATGGGCATTCACTACAACACATGCAAGACCCCTTCACTTACAGTCAGGGGTCCTCTGGGATGGTGGGAACATCTGGGCAGATACGTGGGGATTCCTCAAAGGTTAAAAGGATGTGGCCGTTTACAGATTATGGATTGTGGCCAGTTCAGGGTTTCGGATTGGCAAGCAGAGGGCAGAAGCACCTCGGTACACTTGGGGCAGAAGGCATTGAGGGTGGCTGGGTGGCTGCCATGAAGACTGTGTGCAGGAGGACCAGATCTCTTTAGTGATATTACAGATGGCAAAGCCAGAACCTGCACCAGGCAGGCGGAAATGAAGCCATCTCCCAGTGAAGGGGTCGCACCCGGAATGCGGAGGGCACTCTCTCTGGCAGAGATGAAATGGAGATCTCTCTGTGACACCATATTCAAGCAACGAGGGGAGTTGTCCATGAACCCGATGTTCTCCAGAGGTTATGCTCTAAACATCTTTTTTGTTTTGCTTAGAAAACCTTTCTTGCAAGTTCATGACCATGTCCAAAACAGAAGAGGACACATGTGTGATAGAGACATGCAGGAGAAACCATGTACGAACCTTTAACTTGGGAGGGATGAGGGAAGTATGCAGGGGCACCTGGAGGCCCACGGTCACCTGCTTCTCCCTGCACGAAGAAAAGAGGAAAACAGAAGGATGTGAGATCTGCCTTCAGGATTTTGGATACCATGCATATTTGCAGGGAATAAAGCTGAATGTGGAAAATGAGCTGGGGTATGGCCCCGACTGTGCTGTGGTCCCGGTGTCCCAGCCACCAGCAGGACCCACCAAGACTCAACAAAGTGGGCAGGTATTAATCCCACATTGAAATCCCTTTTTCAAGCACCGGAAGTGCTCAGGTTATTACTTTCTATAGTGCCAGACTACTCCATTACTGGTGACAGTGTCTGAGCTACCCACAAGGTGGGCGGGGTGCAATGCCATTGTACCCCGATATCCTACCATCTAGATGGTAAGACCTAAACTTTCTTGAGCCTTTCAGGACCCCAAAGGTCTAACCACTGAGTCCCCCTGTCCTCCCCAGCTGCGCTCCCTCACCCAGCAGGAAAGTCTCCCCACCTGGCTGGATCCCCATCACCTGACCTTGAACAAATAGGCAGCAGCCCCCTGCCAGCCTGTGAGATTATTCAAACAAGATAATCATATTTTCCCTGGGAATAGAGGTACCCCACCCTCTTGTTACTACAACGCCTGCTCCCATAACCCCAGTGAGTGGCTCTGCTCCTGGGTGTGACTTCCACGTGCCTCTGCAAGGTGGGCAGCAGTGTGAGGCCCCAACACCTGTGACTAATAATCCCTGTCCACCTCATCTGTCCAGGCCTGGGTGTCGTGTGTTTGCTTATCTTGTATTGCACAGGACGGTGGATGCCTCCTCCCCCAGATGAACGGCAGGTGATCCGAATGCTAGCTAGGGGAAGACCGAGCTCACCTTGGGTCCTGGGGGTCCGTCAGGGCCTTGATAGCCATCCAGTCCTTTGCTCCCCTGCAGGAAAGATGCTCAGTGCTTATTTGTACTCTAACAGGATTTAAAGAAGTGACCTCAATACCATTATTATATATAATAACACTAGCTATTTGTTAAAATGACCTGTTATCCACTCTGTGCCCAAGATTCCCTGATTTTGGTCTCAAAAAAATTTTTTTTAAAGTTGTTTTGTTCAAAGGAGGAAAGACTATCCACTGGAAAAAAGACAGTCTCTTCAATGAATGGTGCTGGGAAAATTGGACATCCACGTGCAGAAGAATGAAACTAGACCCCTCTCTTTCACCATACACAAAGATAAACTCAAAATGGATGAAAGATCTAAATGTGAGACAAGAGTCCATCAAAATCCTAGAGGAGAACACAGGCAACACCCTTTTTGAACTTGGCCACAGTAACTTCTTGCAAGATACATCCATGAAGGCAAAAGAAACAAAAGCAAAAATGAACTATTGGGACTTCATCAAGATAAGAAGCTCTTGCACAGCAAAGGATACAGTCAACAAAACTCAAAGACAACCTACAGAATGGGAGAAGATATTTGCAAATGACGTATCAGATAAGGGGCTAGTATCCAAGATCTATAAAGAACTTATTAAACTCAACAGCAAAGAAACAAACAATCCAATCATGAAATGGGCCAAAGACATGAAGAGAAATCTCACAGAGGAAGACATAGACATGGCCAACACACACATGAGAAAATGCTCTGCATCACTGGCCATCAGGGAAATACAAATCAAAACCCCAATGAGATACCACCTCACACCCGTGAGAATGGGGAAAATTAACAAGGCAGGAAACCACAAATGTTGGAGAGGATGTGGAGAAAAGGGAACCCTCCTGCACTGTTGGTGGGAATGTGAACTGGTGCAGCCACTCTGGAAAACTGTGTGGAGGTTCCTCAAAGAGTTAAAAATAGACCTGCCCTTGGACCCAGTAATTGCACTGCTGGGGATTTACCCCAAAGATACAGATGCAGTGAAAAGCTGGGACACCTGCACCCCGATGTTTATAGCAGCAATGTCCACAATAGACAAACTGTGGAGGGAGCCTCAGTGTCCGTCGAAAGATGAATAGATAAAGAAGATGTGGTTTATGTATACAATGGAATATTCCTCAGCCATCAGAAACGACAAATACCCACCATTTGCTTCAACGTGGATGGAACTGGACGGTATTATGCTGAGTGAAGTAAGTCAATCGAAGAAAGACAAACATTATATGGTCTCATTCATTTGGGGAATATAAAAAATAGTGAAAGGGAATAAAGGGGAAAGGAGAAAAAATGAGTGGGAAATATCAGAAAGGGAGACAGAACATGAGACCCTCCTAACTCTGGGAAATGAACTAGGGGTGGTAGAAAGGGAGGTGGGTAGGGTGTGGGGGTGACTGGGTGACGGGCACTGAGGGGGGCACTTGATGGGATGAGCACTGGGTGTTATTCTATATGTTGGCAAATTGAACACCAATAAAAAATAATTTACTAAAAAAAAGTTGTTTTGTTCAGATCAGGATGCAAAGTCCAGGCATGACGACATTGGGCTGCTATATCCCTTGAATGTCATAATTCATACTTGTTCTGTCCTGCCTTCTACTTTTCCCATCACTTTGCCATTGTTGCCGTCGAAGGCATGGGGCTGCCGGTACAGCAGGTGTCCCCATGGTGGCAGCAGCCACCTCTTCCTCCTGGAGCTCCTCTGCCCTGAGCACTTCCTCTGGAGCCCCTCGCTTGCTCAGGTTCACCTGCTCACAAGGGGGGCTGCATCCGTTCTGCTAAGTTACTTCGGGAAGCCCAGAGGCCCCACATCCGCGATATTAGGATGGATCCATCTACTAAAACCTTCCCGCAAGAGGGGCTTTGAAAAATTTTAGTGAACACCAAACAGAAGCAGTAACGCCTCTTACTTTAGAATTTTTCTCTTTAATTAAAAAGTGCAAAGTGCTACTTTCTAATTCCCTCGAGCGTTCATTGAAAGAGAACATTTGCCCTCAGGAGCTGCATTGTAGCTGGACATATACGTGAAGCCTTTACAAAAATCTAGAAATTCATTCCCTCTTGTTAAAGAATATGCACAGTGAGGGCTCACATTCAGAATGCCAGGTGCCACCTTCTGATTATTTTACAAGATTTTGTGGAATGCCAGAGCCGTGTGCTCAAAGTCTTGCTGTTTAGAATGAACACTGACGGGGTTGGTGTCGTGTTTTTCGTGGTGGACCTTTGATTTAGACAGCTTCCCTTTCACACTAGGTGGAGCTGAAGATTCAGAAGTGAAGGCAAATTCCTTTGACGCTAAATTCATCTACTTTGAGGCCATCTCCCGAGAAGGCCAGGAATACTAGAAGAGCTTGCCAGTGATGGGAGCCGGCAACTAGGTATTCAGTCTGAGTTGTGTGCGGCCCAGCATAACAATCCAGCCCTGATAAAGCACTGGATGCTGCGAAACGTGCCCATGGGCCTGAGCATTGTCCACTGGGCAGGACGTCATCACCGAGCAGTAGCCAGCACCCCCAGGACTACGTGCTCACCACCCGTGTTGAATAAGCCAAAACACCACCAACACTTCTGAACTATGTCTGAGTGCTTTGCAATGAACCAGTTATTACAGAAAACCCAAGACAAAAATTAAAGAGCACACAGGATTTCTCTCGCTGAGACTATTAATAGTTGGAACCCCCAAAAGCCAAAATAATGACCTAAAAGTTTCCCTGTGCATTCTCATCTGCAGGTGGATTGACTGAGGGTAGGGGTGGGCCAGGTATTATGTAGAAGTCTGCAGAGTAAAGGCAAGAATTTGCACTCGCAGTTCATCTGAGATCTCTGGCAGCTGGAAGCCCAATAATTTGGCACAGCAAGAATCAACACAGCCATTTCAAGGCTTCTCTTTGTGTTTCTAGGTGCAGGCATGACAACAGGGGTGGGGGAAGCCAGGGATGTGTGGTCAAGGAGGAGTTATCTGGGGACTAGATTAGTAACTGGACAGTCAGTCAGGAATGGTGCCAGCTTGTCCCATACAGTCAGCTGTCACGTCCAAGGTGTAGTGCAGTCTAGCAAGCAGGTGACTCCGTCCTTTGTGTGTGTCCCGGGCATTTCCTATTTGGAGAGTTGGGTAAACTGTCTCCCCACAGAGACGCCCGGTTGGCCGGAAGCATCCCTATCTTCCCCTGGACAATGTGGGCCTTCGGTCCCAACATCTGGCCACGGCAATGAGAGGCCCCAGGTGGCGTCTGCGAGCATCTTGTCTCACATAAACAAGGAGTCCAGGGGCCAGCTGTGTCCAACTGTATTTCAAAAGCCTATAACTCATTAGTGATGGGTGTAGAAAAAAATCATAATCGTCATTTCACTAGCATATGGCTAGCAACGAAAATATTAACAACAGCACTTGGGTTGCGTGGGCAGGTGGGGATGGAGTACTTGGAGATGTTCATGTTGGCCTCATGCCTGTCTCTTCACTTGATTACTGAAATCCTTGAACTTTGGCCTTTTGGCCTTTGGTTGGAGTAGAGCCTGGACAGCTGTCCTCTAGGTACGCTGCCTTTGGGGACACCCCTCAGTTAATAATGTCATGAGAAGATTGATGTCATTGGGGAAACCCTGGTGTTAGCTCCCTGGCTATCCCTGTTTATCCCTGGGATAAAAGGACAGGAACGGGAAGAGTAGGAGCCGCCAAGGTTGCAGGAAGGAGTCAAGGCTGGTCCTATTGGGAGTGGCCAGAGCCTGGGCTCAGGGCTCTGCCTGTGGAGGTTGGACACTGAGCCTGGAAGGCCAAGTCCATCTGCAGACTCCAAGCAAACAAGGGGGAGCCCCCGCGGGACACTGATGAGCCCACGTCCTTCTGGTTCTCCTGATGCCCCACCATCAACCCCCAATGGAGCCATGAGCACAATTCAATGGAGTCCCGATTCAGAGGCTGAATTGATTTTTGAAAAGTCTATTTCTAGGCACCTACTAGGACTTAATGATAAAAATAGCAGGCCATGGGCCCAACAGGCAGGAGCCATAATGCTGACTGTGTAATGGTGGTACACAGCATGCAGCTGGGAATCTCAGCGAGGGGTTGTAGGCATCTACGTGGCATCTTCTCTGGCCTGCAGTTCTGGACAGCTTGTTGACAGAACCACATGGGTGTGTCCATGCTAACATGGAGTCATCTCCAAGGCATGGTGGTGAAAGAAGACAGATGGCAGAATGGAAGAGGTGTGCTCTTTCCTGTGAAATTATATTCACGTGCAGATGCACCTGCTCCCTGTGCACTTGGGCAACTGAAACGATGGAGCTAGGACAGCACCGGCGTCCACAACGGGAAGGAGGTGGGCTAGATATTATGCGATCAAATGACCAAAAATGATAAATAGGGAACATAATTAAATCACTAATTCAAAGAACCATTTCTGCATGTACTCTGTCACATGACCTGTGCTCAGACAATTCTAAATCTGATTCAGATTCATGACACATTTGTCTCATAATTCCTTTTAAAAAATTGCCAAAAACCTGTCCACAGAACACAGAATAAAAATAGCTAATTTGGGCATCACTGAAGATCAAGCATCAAAATTGTGAGATCAACATATGAAGAATGCAGGTAGGCACTCAGCCACTCCATCGATGACTTCCCTAAGAGAGGCACATGATGATGAAGAAGGGTGCCAAAGGACACAGCCAATGTGCTGGTGTGCAAAAGTGAGGGAAAAGGTGAGTGGTCCGCCTCAGGCATCGCAGAAGAGTTGGAGGAAAGATGATTTATGCTACTGCACAAGAAGGGCTTTAAATGTGGTTTTCTGGGGACAACTTCTTTTCCTGGAAGAGCACAGTCCTTCACAGTTGACCCTCGGAAGGTGTTTCAGCCCCAGAGCAGATCCCGTCTCATGCACCCAACTTACTTTTTGTCCCGGTGACCCTTTTTCACCATCGTAGCCAGAAGCACCCTGGGTGGAAGAGAAAGCAGAAGCACCAGCTCAGGATATGCAGCAACACTTTCCAGAAGGCACTGTTTTGGCACCTGACAGGCTAACATAGAATACTTCACTATGAAATAGCAAAGTCATCTGAGGACCCCTTTTATTTTCTAAAGGAAGCGAATTGTTTTAGCGACACTTTCATGTACCGCATTATATCTAGCCCTTAAAGAAATATGGAGAATGAATAAGGACATTGTGGTTTAACGGGGAGAAATCTAACAAGGCTTGCACCCCAACATTCTCAGGAGTCTCTTCTTATTTCCAAAGATTCAAACATATCTTTTTTTGTGGTAGTGGCTACCAGAGAGTCACTGCCAGGCCCCCTTCTGTGTGTTCTGGCCCGGAGCTCTGGCCACACCTCCCAGCTCACTTGCTGCTAGGTTCGGCAGGTGACCGAGCTCCAGCTGACAGTAGGACAGAAGCGTCAGGTGTCCTTGTAGGCCACATGCTGAAGATAGAGGCCTGCACTTGGGAACGGGAGCCAGAGGTGCTGAATCTCCTTGGGAAAGACACCCCTGGCCCCTCCTCTCACTGTCCTGCTAGGGACACTTCTGTTGGATTCTCCAAGAAACAAGAATCAACTTCTTGTGTTGGAGACAGTCTACACTGTTGTCACTGCCGGTTAAGTTAGCCTGACAGAAACACTGATGTCTGCTCCTGCCCTCCTCCAACAGAGGCTCACAGTCTCAAACACTAGTGACTCGGGGAGCGTGATGGGCCAGGGGGGCCGCTCTGGTCGGGGCGCTAGGAGCGAGGGAGGCTGTGCATGCTGGCTGAGGGATGGCATCTGGGACATCTCTGTACTTTTAGCTCAACCTCACAGGGAATCTGAAACTGCTCTGGAAAATGCAGTCTATGTAAAACACAAAACAAAACAAGCTGCAGTTACAGCATGCATGCATGGCTTACCCGTGTGCCAGAAAAGCCCATGATTCCTTCTTCTCCCTTCAAGGAGATGCCCTAGGAGAGAGCAGAGACGTCAGGTGGCTGGCCCGTCCCACTTCACCCGCTCAGGGTTCCAGCCCCTCGACTGGCCAGCCTGCCTCCCGGGGTCCCCAGTCCATCCCAGCGTGAGCTAGGGTCACACAAAGCTGGCCAGGCGGCCTGGATTACCACTGATCCAGGATACCCCTGATGTCACACAGCCGGTGATGGCTGGGAGGGCTGGGAATACGGGGCAGGTGTGACAGGGACCTGGAACTGAAGCTGCCGCCAAATGTGCCGGAGCCTCTGCCCACACACCTGCTCTCTTAACACACTTAGGTGCATTCCCAAACCCCAGAAAATGTTGATTCGTTGGTGTCTGTGATGCAAAAGTGAAGATACTCTAAAGCCATTTTTTGAAAAGAAGCATCCAAGTGAACGCCACCTGGTCTAACAGGTGGATGCCGCTAGAGGCCTGCGCCCCATTGTTGCACGGGTGCCCAGTGGAAGAAACCGCGCTACTACTTCACTTACTTTTCTTCCTGGCTCCCCCTCACTTCCCTTTTCGCCCTGTGAAGACAATGAAATGTGAGACCAGTAACTCAAGGACAGAAACGATGGAGCAGGGTTTGTGATCACTGAAAAGTGTTTATGGAAACTGTAAATACTGATTATAAATGCATCAGAATAAACAAGTCCTACATTTTGCAGCTTCAAAATTCAAGAGAAAAAAGGTGTGATTTCTTCTGGATTTTCACATCATCAGTTAAATCACGTGTTCCGTTTCATACAATTGCAAGGCTGCCTGTCTGCTCTGTGTGAGGGTGGTCTCCCAGCTGCAGGCTCTGCTGCAGCACACGCCCCGGGATGAGCCCCTGATGATAATATTTGAATAAAATAGTCTTAGGAGGGTCTTCTGAGGCAGAGACACACTGGAATATACTAAAACCCTAAGTAGGGAAGCCCGGTGGCTCAGCGGTTTAGCACCTGCCTTCAGCCCAGGGCCTGATCCTGGAGACCCGGGATCAAGTCCCACGTCGGGCTCCCTGCATGGAGCCTGATTCTCCTTCTGCCTGTATCTCTGCCCTCTCTCTCTCTCTCTCTCTCTCTCTCTGTGTGTGTGTATTTCTCATGAATAAATAAATAAAATCTTAAAAAAAAACCCAGGTAAAAGAGACTTTATTTGGAAAGCAGTGTCAATTTTATATGGTATATTTTCCCCACTCCTTTTGGTCTAAAAGGGTTAAAGAAATGTAGTGACTGGCTGGGTTCTTTTTCCATCTCTGCTGGGACAGCACCCAGGACCCCTGTTGCCTGCAGTGGCCTCCTGTGGCCCCAGGTGGCCCCAGCCCATCCTGGTGGCAGAAGATGAAGGAAATCTGATGCCCAAGCTTGAACCCCTCGGCATGGGTTGAACCTGCTCTGGCCTCACTGTGCCCTTGGCTCCTGTCCTGAGACGGGACAGAGCTCCATCATCTGGCTGATGGTTGAGGCCCCACCAGGAGCCCGAGTCCCGCCTGGATCCCACCTGATGACTGGACGGGGCGCCCCCCACTGCCTGGCTGTCCAGGGAGGTCCTGCCCTAAACTAGCTGGCTCACTGCCACCTGTGCCTGCTGCACTCTCCCCTGCATTCTGCTTCACACCATCATGGCCACGCCACCCTGTCCCCTTGAAGTCAGGCACAGCCACCCAGACTGATTCCTCCCTAAGCCTGCCTTCTCCCACCCGAACCACATCGGGACAGACACTTGGGAGCTGGAATCAGATTCTATGTTTGGGGTTTTTACTTTGGTTCCCAGGCACCGCCTGTGCCTGACCTAATCTGAGGTTTTCACGTGGTCTCCACTCAGCAGCAATATGAGGTTGAGTGTTACCATCTTCAATTAGCACAGGGAGCTGGGACATTAGAAAGGTTAAGTGGCCCGTTCGAGGGAGTGAGTTTGGCAAAGTGAGTGTTAATTTTTATTTAGATTCCAAGAGTATACACTTTTAATCAGACAAAAATATTCATGGAAATTATAAAAATCAGAAAATGGACTTTGATGCAAAATACCCACAACCGATGCTCCACGTTAACAAAAAGTAAAAGTAGGTTCATTTTTTGCCAAATACAACATTTTGCTCAGATAGCTCCATATCCTGGCTTTGAATTATGCTCTGACCATTGACCTAGGCCTACACAGGAGATCTGCACACTAAGGATACATTTGAGTTTGTTTTATGAATTCTCGTATTGTCTCAAATTTGTTACAATTTTTTAAGACAACAGACCAGTGCACCTATGTGACCATGGGCAGTGTTTTCACGCATGATGTACCAGTTAGATGGTGAGGACCCTCCCACTTTGTTAGTGTTTTAAAAGATCGAAGAAAGTTCCTTTTTTTTCTTCTCCTTATTTTAGTTTTACCAGTAATATAGTCAATTTTGTTGAAGCTTCTTTACCTTATATTGATCTGGGTGGAACATTTCCTTCATGGGTCCTATGATGGCATGGTGGGTGTCTGATGGAATCCCATTGGGTCCTGGCAGCCCCATGTCGCCCTGTGAATGGTTTAGGAGAAGCAGTAATCTTTATCTTGGAAAGACAGTATCAAGCTTCATCATCATCACTAACTGCTTTCTATTTTTGCATATTATTTACCACAAGTATATCTATTTTGTAATATTATGATCACAGTGTAAAATGAAATGGTCACAATGGAAAATTGTGTCCTCTCTGCATTAATAGTCATTTAAAATTTATTCATAAAAGTTGTTTAAGTTGTTCAAAAGTTTGTGCTGCCTTCGCTTCTGTGGTGTTATCTCTTTAGGATGAATTTCTGTACACAAGCTAAATGTCTTCATATCAACGTATTACTCTATTGCTTTCCAAGATTGGGGCTAAGGTATACGAAATGCCTAAAATATGAAAGATGAGACCAGTTTCACCACTGTTTCACCAGTTAAGGTGTTTTTATATTATAAAAGGTAGCATCTTCAATAAAATGTATCTTAAGTTTGCATTTTTAACATTCGCAAGAAACACTTTCCATGTGATGCACAGACCAGGAGGAGCCTATCAATCTGGAACATTATTAGACAAGGTTTCCTGCCTGATACGTGGCTTCACCTCTCAGGAACTAATTGACACAAAGAGTAACTTACTGTCTTTTCTTTGGTACTTCCGCAGGTAAACTATATATTACAAATTTGGGCCCAGAAGTCGCATAGTATGACCAGGGGTGAAGTGACAGGACCTACCAGCTATAAAAAGGAGGACTCTGTGGTGTATTCTCAGAGTCACTAACATCACATCTAAAAAATGCCTGGAACTGCTTGCTCACCTCCCCTTTACCTATTAGGGCATTGATATCTTCTTATTAATATTTGAATCATAAAAAGGGCACATGATGAGATGAGCACTGGGTGTTATACTCTGTTTGCAAACTGAATTTAAATAAAATAAACTAAATCTTAAAAAAATTTTTGAATCAACTCTTTGGAGATTATAGACATTCACTTCATTTTCATTCTGCTTGACATGTCTAATCTCCCTTCCACCCAGTGATTTCTTCCTATATTTTTCTTCTTTTTATGTTATTTTACTGTTCCATCATATTTCATCATATAGGTGTTTACATCTTTATGTGTTTGGATCTTTCAATAGCATGCTTTTAAAATTTTTTCTACAGTAATAACACAAAGAAGAAGTCTTTCCCTCTAGATCTGAGCAGTACTGGGTTCCACTTAGTGTGCTGTTTGATCAAAAAGCACAGCAGAAAACAAAAACAAAATGAGAATCGGCAAACGGTGAGGCCACAGAACAAACATATTTCATGGTGGGCAGGTGGCTTTGTGGTGTACACGATGGATTACGTGTTGCTGAGGCTTTGCTTGTTGAGCTTTTCACACTCATGGCCTCAAGTGATGCTCTTGAAGGCCTGCAGTCCTTTTGTGTTGGCAGCGCAGTGATTTACAGGCACCCATGGGGTCTTCCTGCTGGCCCGGCTGCCTGGTCCCTGAGCGGGCCTGTGGGTATCACCTCAGTCTGCTCAATCACTGGGGTTCCCCACGTTGGGACACCTCAGGCAATGCCTTTACTTTGTGGGTGCTGCAGATAGCCAAGGTCATGTCTATACCAGAGGTCTGGTCGGGGCTAACCTACACTGTTGGCTTTCACAGTCTCAGCGAGCCATCACTATGGTTGGAGCCTCTTCCAAAGCCTGGCAGTGATTATTTCCTAAGCAAATGGTCAAAAGATAACTGCACGAAAAGCAGTCGTTAAAATGATTTACTTCCTAACCACTAACTAAGAAAGCCTCCGCGTTCCAGTATTGTTTCCTCACTTTTTCTCCTTTCTCTCCATAAAAGCCAAGTCCTCTGTTGCCCTGAAAAGAGAAACGATTTTTCTAAGTTTTTAAAAGTCATTAATCACAGTGAAATAATAATAATAATATATATATATTTTAGAAAACTAAACATAAGATCTATTTGCAGCATACTGAACAATTATCCTTGCAGAATATTCTGGAGTCTCCTCCCCAAAGCTATTGGACACAAAAGATTAATATCCTTTCTTTTGCGAGTTCCACATATAAACCTAATAAAAGTCTGAGCCCAGGTAGTACATAAGGTGAACGGGAGCTGGCTGGGACCACACGGAGTTGGAGAGAGTGGCACTTCCCAGTGTCTCCCGCCTTCGCCAAGACGAGGTCTGAGTGATGGAAACCAGGGGGATGGAGACAAAGGACGAGCTGTTCTTTAATACAATGTGCTTTTAGGAAGTCTGTATTTTGTACTTTAAGCAAAACCTCGAAAATAGACTAACAGCAGTTATTCTGTTACCCTTGGGAATGTTCTAGAGTTTGTTGTTCACCATCCTGGGGATCGGGACGTTGGCTGAGTCGTTAATTTTGCACCTGTCATCTGAGCTGGCGCTCCGTGACCCTGCGACCCTCTGGCCGCACGACCTACACGGCCGCCGCGGGCCGTGGGAGCTTGTGGCCCCTGACAGAGGCCTCACCGACGGTGCGGGGCTGAGCTCAGACCTGCTCCCGGGGCCCTCGGACTCGTTAGTACCCCTGTTGTCTACAGAGATGGGGGTCTTCGAGTGACAGACCCAGGAAGCAGCCATCTTCCCTGGGATCCCATATGGAGGATCACGATTCAGTGTCCCTTCTGCCTCAGCTGTTTCTCATTTTGGCAAGATAACCCTACATCCACAAACACTTCCAACCCTTTTAATGATTGTAGGGGATGGTGAGCCTCGGTGTAGGGTGGCCGACTTAGCAAGTGTTCAGTAGATTCGCGAGTGGGGTGGACATGTGTTGAACTGACCCCAGTGTCCAAGATGAGCCCGACAAGAAGCTGCCCGCCACACTCATGCATATTATAGAAACCGTGCTCTTTTCTTTGGCCTGCAAACGACTCTGCTTCCTCCCCAGGGTCTCCACATTCCCACCACGACAGAGAATCACGTGGGGCACTATCTGGTCTTTCTCTCAGCAGTATAGCATCCGCCCCCTCCCATGCCCGGAGAGTCTCCGAAAATAAAAACAAAGCGTTTAATTAAGTTTTGCTTTTTTGCTCCTTTCCCACCTGGCTGGGAGCTGAAATCAAAGCACAGAAAGGCAGCCAGGCTAGATGAGAATGCGATTTGCTGAGGCCCCTGCCGTCCCTCTGCCCCCTGAGCTGGTCGTCCAAGTCCCCAGGAAGTGACCTGGTGGAGGGTGAGGGCTGTTTGTGTTGCAGCCAAGTGGGGATCTGAGGCGACCCTGGGGCTCGGCCGCCCGGTCCTACATCCGCTTCTCTTGGCTCTGGGCCGTTCCCACCCTGCTCGTGGCTGCAAGACAGTGGGGAGCCCAGTGGTGGGGGCAGCTGCCTTAATGAGCTCCAGCCCCAGCCGGAAGCCATGTCAGAGGTGATGGGAAAGGGGATGGGGGCGGGGGCGGTGGCAGCCACGGTTCCCTAGAGGTCACAGAGATGAGATTTCTGTAGAGCAGACATGTGAGTGTGTGGGCTCAGGGATGTCCTCAGTCTCGTGCAGGCCATGGGATGGTCTTTAAATGTTGGTGACCACAGCCCAGCACTTCTGACTCATATCACGTCTTGATCACAGACTCCCCTTGCCAACCTCCTGTATCCTAGCTCTGTCTACAGGCTACCTACCTTCTGGTGCTCCATCCAACTTAGTGACCTTTCTCTGATGGAAACAGTACAGCTCTGGGCTCAAGCTTGACTTGAAAATCACTAATGGATCCCCAGAGGCTGACGTCACCCTCTGCTACAGCCTGCTTATGTCTGAGTAGGAAGGATGCCACTGGCTCCCCCACACAGATACACCACATGTTGTCCCTTCTTGGGCATTAACATGTACAGATAAACACGAGCTGTTCTTAGATCTGCATTTCCAATCAAACACTCATCAGTGTGATTTTCACACAATGGCAGGTGTTACATGATTTGCAAACAACGAATCATTCAACATGTCCACTTATTTGATGTGCTGGCTACCTCAGGCATACCTTTGGATTTATCTTTGGCATTTACAACATTAAGTCTCAAAAGCCTACAAAATCATTCTCATCATGAAATAAATGATAACATTGTTGTCAACCAAGTAGTTCTATGGTCAGGAAAGGTACATACAAGGATGGAAGCACCCCCTCCTGCCCCCATAACCAACTTACTGGCTGTCCTTTTGGTCCGGGGGGTCCAGGCGGGCCCTGCATAAATACAAAGAAATTTGTAAACTGTTTTCTTTATCCCAGGACTTAGATAACATCTGCTAGAAAGCTCTGGGAAAGCCATCCACAGTATGTTTAGAAGCCTGTGTAGTATGTATAGAGGTTTCTGGTACATTAGTCTGGGCAGGGAGGAAGGGCTAGAGGCGGAGGGCTGGGTCAGGCCTGGCTCTCCGAACCTGCCCGCTGGCCACGTACAGCTCTTCTGGGCTTGCTTTTCTGAGGTCAGGCTTCTGACTTCACCCATGTCCTACTCCTGCTTGCTCGGATCCCCTGCAAGGTCCCCCCAGGTCATGTCACTGCAGAGACTTCCTCTGCAGGGTTCCCCCCAGGACACTGTGTAGCACTTGTTGCTAGTGGATCAGCAAATGTGCATGAACACAATTAATGTACAGGCTCAAATGGCAGGGTTGAAAATCCATCTGCAAACATCACTGTCCTTCAGCAAAGCATTCAGTGTCAACACTATGCTTAGGATGAGGTTTTGAACACACCTGAGAAGAACACTTAGTGTTTAAGTACAAAGAAGTATGGGCAATTTTACGACCTGTAGAAGAATCTGTAGCTGTCTAATCAGCTCAGAACACAGCAGGTACAATCTGTTGTTCTAGACTTTCCTGAACTGTGTATTTAAAGATGAAGTCCCTCACTGCTGGTACGTGAGCTGTGAGCCAGTCGGCAGCTGTGCATCGGGAGAGCAAAGTACCTGTGATCACATAAGCCTCATCTCACTGGTTTTCTGCAAGATGGTCTCTCTTAACCTGGAGCCAGATCTCTCCTATGTTGTTTGAGGCCCGTGTGTCTTACTGCTAAACTTTTGGGGAATGAGAGTCAGAGGCCCAGTGGGGGTGGTGGGGGCAGTGGCTTCTCCCTTCTGGTCCTTTCCCTCCCCACGGAAAGCCCTCCTTCACCAGGCATCTGTCCTGTTGCAACTCACCATGTCATTCAGTTGCAAAGGCAGAGAACACGTGTAGATTGCCACTTGGGTGGGGCACTAGGGCCACTTTGTTAACTGATGTCTAATATCTCACTGGCAGTGATAGTCACACCCAGGTGCAGTACACCTGCCATGAGGCCATGCCCAGGCAGAGTCCACCACCCCCTTATCCACTTACTGAACTTTGATCTCCTTGGCCCAGGGATGACAGGCCCCTCACCAGCAGGCTGAGTGTGGGGCTGAGAGAGCTTCTGTATGACTGGAAGGGCACCCAGCCAGCACCAAGTCAAAATTTGACGTAGTCGGTGGTGATCTGGTGCCCACAAATTTCAAGTCCTCATTCTTCAATCTTAATAGTAGCAAAATGTATGCAAAGGATGACCTACTTCATCTGGACACTTTCTAGAGTGACCACAAGCATCCTAGCTGTACTGTGAAGCTTCCACTTGCATCAGCACTGAAGAAGCTGGATCTTTAGATCCGCCTTGATAGCGGTCCAAGTACCCACACACCCGGTACTTACTGGTCTTCCTGGAGCTCCAACTGGACCCATCTGTCCTATAGGCCCAGGGCGGCCAGGAGGACCCTAAGGAGAGGCAACACAGTCAGCTATTAAGAAAGGCAGGCTGGTATTTGGAGTCCCGAGTCCTTAAAGTTTTGCTTGGGACATTCTCTAATAAACATGGAGCTTACCTGGAAACCAACCAATCCAGGCTCTCCAGGTTCACCCTAGTTGAGAAGACATAATGTGAAGAGTTCTGGTTCTTAATCATCTTTAGATTTTGTTACATTTTATCAGAACTTTGGAAACAAACATATACATTATATCAGCCCTCCCGGGGACTTGGTAATGTTACCTCCTCTCTGGGGCATTGTGAATACGGGAAAGGTGTGCACCCAGAGTTGAATGTCACCCCAATGGGAAATCGATGATTTTTAACATTGTGGTGTTGGGTTGTTTCACCACCCCAGGCGTCCCCTCATTCTCACATCTTCACGACTCAACCATACTTGGAAAACATCATTATTATTCAGGTATTTACACTGATTGCTTAGTCTCAAGTCCCTATCTAGCAAACGTACCCTGTATTTGTCGCGGTCCACACTGGATAGCGCATATGGCTCGCCTTTCTGTCCTTTGGGTCCTTGGGGCCCCTAGGGTAGCATGCACGTGGCAGACAGAGAAAACACAGAAAGACCCGTTAATAGTCAGTGCAGCTGTAGCCATCGAGGTGATTAAATACTGACCTTATGGGCAATGTCTATTGTCCTTATGGCTCATTTAGGTTACTCTGAATACCAGTCACAGAGGTGAGATTTTTGCTTTTATAGTTACCCAATATTTTCCTTCAAAATTAAAATGTTAATCACTTATGTGATCTTCAGAAACCCAAATGAATGCTCAGTAAATTAACCCTTTAGGATATCAACGTGTTATTTTTCTTCATAATAATATTTTTGTCTAGTTTTGGCATTAGGGTGCTACAAATATTAACACACATGCACTGAAGCACCATTTTGGGGAGAGATATGGATCATTCTGTAAAACTGGGATCCTGACAAATGTATGTGGTACGTGTACACATACATATGTATATAAGTGTCTTTTAATGCCTGTATATGACATCAGTATTTTAAGCTAATGGATATATTTGTTGATGATGAAAGTTTCATGACATTAGAGCAGACTAGGAAGTGATGGTCCTCACTGAGAAGTTGAAACACATGTAAATGACACAGCTGAGGGAGGAGGATCTGCAGGCGGGGGCGAAAAATCCACTAGCTTCAGCAGGAAACACAGGGAGGAAGGTGTGACTGCTCTTCCCCAACCTTAAAAATGCTCTTCTAGATAAAAAGTTTTACCAAATAAGATGTTGGCATAACCCTGACGGGGCACTATTTTGCTGGTACGAGGGTAGCAATACAGTCCTGCAGACCACTTCAAGATTCTCCGCATGGACCTGAAAGCGGAGTCTACAAAATAGGTGAAAACGAAAAAGTCTTTCATGAAAAAGAGCTCACTTCTACCTGTCAGAGCTGTAGAATGTTTCTCATGTCCCAGAGGACTTTAGAATCTAACAAAATGGTGCCTAACAGGGCATTCTGTCAAGCTTTAAGCCTTTTTAGTTTAGTTTTGCTATTCCCACTATTTGCTGTTACTTGAAATGCAGCACGAGGCAGACTGTGCTGACATTGGTAAAACTACACAATATCAACCAAATCAATTATTTCCTATCTTGTTTACAGAATGGCTAAGGAAAATGAAGTTCTGTGGACCCAGGGGAGGCATGCAGAGCTGCCTGCAGGGCCACTTCGGCGGGGTGCCAGCTGAGGACAGGGGAGTGATGGGGGGCAGCGTGAGAGGCAGGCTGAGCATGCCCACTCACCCCGTCCGTGGGGGCAACAGGGGACAACCCACCCTCCTCAGAAAGTCTCTCTGCGACCATGTCTCAAAGGGCCTTCTGGATGGGCCCTCGAAAGGCACACGACATCCCCCATGCCTCTGCTGACAAGCCCCAGCCAGCGAGCGCCTGGAGAGAAGGATCCGTGGCCTGCCCTGTGCCTGTGCCGGTACTTACAGGAGGGCCGAGGAAGCCCGCAGGACCCTCGGGTCCCTGCCGGCCCACGTCTCCTCTGGTCCCGTTGCAGCCGTCGTAGCCAGGTGGCCCTCTGGGCCCACCTTGCCCAGGGTGTCCCTGAGAGGAGACAAGTAAGTAAGCCTTCCAGCATACGCACTGCAGTTCTCATGCGCACTGTGATACAACAGCTCTAAACCCTCTCACCCTGCACGAACCGAAGGGGAGAGATAACCCCCAACGAGCAGACGAATGAAAGATTTAAGTAAACAGAGGCACACGGGCACAGTCCTCAGCAGGAGAAAGGCTCTCAAGACAAAGGTCTGTTTCCCATGGGCTCTGGTAAAGCAGTAACTTGTCGGTCTACTGGGGGGTCTGTTCGCAGGGACAGGACACAGTAGGCTTAAAAATTCTAGAAATCATTCTAGAAGCAGCTAGGTCCTGCAAAGAGCAGACTAGACAACAAGAATGCCTTTATCTTTGTGCCCAACTGAATTTTAGAAAGTGGGTTTGGTGGACCCATATCCTACACGGTAAGAGATTCATGCACCCTCGACAGGATTTCATGTGACTGAGCCATATGTAGAAGAATGGACTTCCTCTCATTTGCTTTCATGGGGGGAACACTCCTTCTTAGATTTTAAACTCAAAGAGAAAGCAGGTCAGATGTTCTGAGATGTTGGGGTTGGGGGAGGGAGGGCATTGTGATCAAGTGTCTTTGGAATAAACAAACAGAGTCAGGCTGAGTCTGTGGGCATCCCACCTGCGTTCATCTGGTTCCTGAGACATCCAGGAGCTGGGTTTGTGTGCCATAAGACCACAGCTCATCGTGCTATTTCTTCCACAGCAGATGTGCAGATATAGGCTATCTTACTAGCTTCTTTAAAATTTTGATTTTGTTGACAACAGACCAAACATATGTTCCAGAGTGATTTTCTGAGGCCATGTCAGATGCCTTTCAGATTTACTTTGAAAAATCTGGGACATTTCAAAATAAATGAACAAATCCCACACAGAGGGCCTGCACTCTGAATAATATTAAGAAAGATGAGAAAAGTAGCATTTTTCTTTTGTTGTATGTTTCTTTGCTCTAGATATCCAAAGGTATTGCTTTAACTGGCGCTGTCAGATAAGAAGAGATCCAACAGACTTCCAGTCGGCCCTCTGAGGGGACAAGAGAAATCCTGACTACCCTGTAAATGATGAGGCACAAGCACTCCAGCCGGCAGTGTAGATAGCTGCCTGGTAGCAGCAAGTAAAGGCTTGCTTTTAAGGGGTCCTGAAAGCTGATCCTTCAAATTCGGCAGGAGAAAACATGTTCAGTAGGTGTTCTGCTCACAATCTGTGGTGTTCTGTGATGCTTTTCTTACATTGAGGTCTTCACTCTTCTCCCGAATTATTTGTCTGCTGTTGGTCTTTCTTGCTCTCTTAGAATTGATCTAAGTCATTTGAAGTTATATATCAACCTGATGTTAGTTTGAGATGGTTCTTCAAAGAAAAATTTTAATTATATGGAGCTGATGGCTCATTTTCGCTCAACACCTGATTAAATACAACTCTAAGATCTGACTGTATATCACGTTTTATGTACAATTTCTAAACGGCTAAAATTAGCCTGGTCCTTCAACTTTACATTCCTGAGCTGCTTCGAGGTGGCGGGTGGCACTTTAGGTCACTTTTGTGCAGTTCTAGAGCTCTGTGGGTAGCGAGCGAGGCTGTGTTGCATGGAGATTCTGCAGAAACCTGTTGGTTCCATGCTCACTAGGATCACTCCCTCATGTGATGATACTTCCTCTCTAACTTGCAAAATATTTGCTCCTCTTGTTAAATGGGTATCAAGTGGAAAAACAAATTAAAATATGACTCAGATTAGTTACAATATTTTTCCATGAGATCACTCCATTTAAACTCAGATTTCAGCTTCCAGAAGACAAAACCAGTGGATGGCCCAAAGAGCTCAAAAGAGCAGTTTTAAAAACGGGCGATTTAGTTTGAGGCAGTTGGTAGGAAAATATTTGCCTTGTTTACCCTTGGAAATCTACGGATTCTTCACCTCTGCCAATTTCTCGAGATCCTGACTGATGGGAAAGTGACTCCCTTGTCCACAGCTGTATGTTGTAACTGGTGCGTGTGAGCCCCCCCATCCAGGTGATGCTCGGGGTCACCGCCACCCAGGCCTTAGGTCTCTGTGGGTGGCTTCCTCTCTTTAGCTGAGAGCTTCCTTCTCCTGGATGAGAGACGGGCTCTGGAGATCAATCATGGCCTCTTGGTGATGGGTCTCAGGCGCTCCCTCCCTCGCTCCCCTACAAGGCAGGGATCCTGCTCATGGAGCCCTGGGAATGTATCTGTGTGTATGTGTGTGTCTGTGTGCACACCCATGTGTGTGCTAACAGGCTGACACAGGGCATGGGTATGTGAAGGGCCCAGACATGTGCATTTGGGTGAGGTTCCTAAAGCAGATGTCCTCCTCAAACTTCAGCAACGGTCAACCGCATGTGTGATAAACACATCTATCCCCATGGCCAGGATCTGCAGGAAGCAGACCCTGGGAAATCTGCTCACGGGTCCTTGTGAAGAAGGCTGTGAGTCAGGCGCTCTGTTTATTTTTGTATGCCACAAGAAGTAAAGTAAACTAGGTTAGAAAAACACATTTTATTGCATTTGGAGATTTTCTCATAGACAAACCCTGTCTTTCCTTCTTTGCATTTACATGTAGTTGACTTCAGAGAATTTGGGAAGTTGCACCAATGTTTGGCAGGGCTTGGTCACATCCATGTTCTCAGCTGCACTGCTCTATATTCAGGTTCCACCGAAATTTCCAGATCAGCTCTTATTGAGCATATCTGAGTAACACTTGAGCTTTTTATTACAAAATAATGTCCGGCTTCAGCAAAGTAGCCTGGATTCTGAAGCCAAGGCCAGAAGAACATTTACAAAGGAAACAATCTGTCCAATATTTGACTGGACTCCAGGGGCAAAAGTATGCACAATATAGCCTTACCAGGCTCATGATATAAACAAAACAGGAGGTCTAGTTAGAGATGTTTCTGTAAGTCATAAGCCTATTGCTTTGCAAGCATACACTGTTTTAAAAATCCTAACTGTATAAAAACACTTACGGGAATGCCGTCGGCACCTGGGAATCCAGAAACACCTCTCGCTCCCTGTAAAGAAGGCAAACAAACTTACCGAAGGCCAGGACACCCACTGCCCATTGCAAAAGTGGAGGGAGAACCAGCAGTCACCGTACCACGTCTCCTTTCGGTCCTGTGATCCCGGGTGACCCTCTTTCACCCTTGTCACCTTTGCGGCCCTGCAGTCCTGGGAATCCCTGCAGGCCCGGAGGCCCAGTGTATCCCTGGGGGCCCACTGGCCCTGGTTGGCCCTGCAGAAACAACAGAGTTCAATTACTATTGGTAACGACAGAAGAGCATTTTTTCATCGTGCTGCTTTTGAAACCACACTTTTCATTCTCAAAGAGCTATGTTCCGAGAACATTACATGTAAACTTCCATCTCCTGCCACAGTTGCAACAGTGATTTCTGGCTTAAAGAAGTCCTAGAGTTTTTTTTAAAAAACAAAATTAGGGGGATCCCTGGGTGGCGCAGCGGTTTGGCGCCTGCCTTTGGCCCACGACGCGATCCTGGAGACCCGGGATCGAGTCCCACATCGGGCTCCCGGTGCATGGAGCCTGCTTCTTCCTCTGCCTGTGTCTCTGCCTTTCTCTCTGTGACTATCATAAATAAAAAAAATAAAATAAAAAAAAAATAAAAAACAAAATTAAATGTGAGGAAAAGTCATCCCAAACTCAAGTGATGTTATTGTGAAATGCTAGTATTGGGTTGGGATGAAAAGATCCACTTTATTTGGCTTTTTTAAAAAAAAAAGTGTTTTCAGCTAAAAAAATTTCACACAAGTTTCTAAGATTTTATCTCTATCTCAATATAATGCATGTAACACATATAGAAATGTGGATTGCACCCCAGTATCAAATGATCCTCAGATGTTTAAGTGATCTCCCCTGTCTCCACACACACTACTTACGTACACAGGAGAATTACAGGTTTCTGCAGCCTATAAACATCTATGCCCATAGCCATTGGACATGGACGGTTATTATTAAAAAGTAAAAAGACAAAATGCTGAACTGGCAAGGATGTTGACAAATCGAGGCCCTGAGCCCTGTGTGTGGGAATGTGAGATGGTGCAGCTGATGGGGGGGCATATGGCAGTTCCTCCAAGAATGAGACAGAGAGCTGCCCGATGATCCAGTAATTTCATTCTGGGGGTCCTCCTACTCCAACAAGCTGAAAGCAGAGACATGAACTGGTGTCTGTACACCTGTGTTTGCTGCAGCGTCTTCCCCAACAGCCAAAGAGTGGAAGCACAGTGCTCGCTGGAGGATCATGGATAAACAAGAGATTCTGTCTGTGCCGGGGACTATTTTTCACCTGGCCGAGGGCCGTAGGGGTCTCACCTCTGGGCTTTGTTACCATTCTTACGTTGCCCTCTACTTTTGGATGTGGGGGAAGAGGTGAAGAATTTCTCTGGGGTGGAAGATACACAATGGAGATTAAGGTGCCGTTGATGGATGGGATCTACCCCGAAGCGGGGGACCCCTGTCCTCCAACAAAGGGGAGATTTGAGAGGTCCCCTCGGGGCTTCCTCTGGGCCAAGGCCAGTTCTGGAGTCACTGGATTCTCCAGCTCTACCCTCTACATGTTCCAGAGGGTCTAGTCAAGGCAGAAATCACCAAATACTGAGTCGGAGCACAAGCACTGTATGTAGTCTTTGAAGAACGTGGTAAAAGGGGACTGTGGCCCCTCGCTCGCCTCCTCTTCCTCCAGGACGGCTGTGTCGGAAGGTGGGCAGCCCGACCTTGGACACACGAATCCTCCACTCACCCCAGGCTAGTGCTCAAGGGCCTCAGCACGCAACATTTGCTGTGAGTTTGATTCTGACTTTTGTGGATTTCCCCCGGTTGTGTTCAGTTTTGTCTGTGGCTAGTAGAATGTCACTGTCTTGTGACGACGTGGCAAGCCCCTAAGCCTTCAACTGCTCCTAATCGTAGTGAGGCCTGCAGCTTGTCCGTGTTTACAGTGAGCAGCCTTTGGGGGATAAATGCTGTTCATTAGCACCATCATTTCTACTGTCTATAAGTGGCGTCTCCATCTGGGGGGTTACCGCATGCAGCCGATGAGGAGGGTGCATCTGCTTTCAATCAAAGCGGAACGTGTGTATCTTTGCGATGGAAACCTACAGTCTCCTTGTGCCCTCCTAGAGCTTTTCCTTGATTCCCTCTGATGGGAAAAGTGATCACGACATCATGTACTCACTTTCCTGCCATTGTCAGTGGACTTCTTTTTAGTCTTTGTTTCTTGGATGGGAAGTCTGGCTTTGGGAATAAAACGAGTCTTTCCTTTTCTGGAGCAGGCTGTCACTGCGAAGTTCCCATAAAACCAGCCATACCAGAAGTTCACAATGTTTTCTATCCACCAGCTCTCTCTGGTTCTGAAACAGTTCCATTGCCCCATACCCACTGAGCAGTCACTCCCTACCACCCTACCACCCTACCCTAGCCCCTGGTCCCCTAACCAGACTGGTATCTGCTCTGGGTGTTGATGGGATCTATCCATTCTGGGTATTTCAAGCATCTGGAGTCATATGTAGGTTATGTGATCTGTGGTGCCTGACTTCTTCCACTTCACACAACATTTTTGAGGTTCTCCTGTGTGGTAGCACCAAACAGTACTTGATTCACTTTCATGTCTGGACCACATTCAGTGGATGCATGACCACAATTTGTCCATCCATCCATTAATGAACACTGGGGGTGTTTGCACCATAGCGTTGCTGTGAATAGTGCCACGGTGGATACGCACATACCTGTTGAATTGAGTACCTCTTCTCAACTCTCCTGGGTATAAACTTAGGAATGGAACTGCCATCTCTTTGGGCAATTCTGTTTAACTTTTTGAGGAGCCGCCATGTTGGTTTCCATGGTGGCCTCACCATGTGCCTTCCCAGCAGCAATGTGTGGGAGTTCCTGATTTCTCCACAACCTTGCTAGCACTTGTTATTTTCCATTTTTTAAAAATTACAGCCCTCGTAGTGGGTGTGAGGGTGGTGTCATTCTGAAGAGATTATCTTGAGCTTCTCACAGATGGAACATTTCACAAATTCCATCCAGCTTCCGCCCTGGGGAGGGCCAGGAAGAGTCTGGAGAGACTCTGAATTAGACCTTAGTCCCCAGGGACTAGACCCTCGCTCTTGCCCACGGGGCACGCCCTGTGCTGCTAGGGCTAGATGGGCATTGACGTCAAGGTCTAAGACCTGGCTGTGTTTCAGCAGTCAGCCCTGAGATTTCCCTGAGGATATCCTGCCCGCCAGGGCATCTAGTGTGATTGTAATGAGTGGCTGGAATGACCAGGTAATGAAAAGGATCTTCCTTTGTGCTAATGACCTTCAACTTCCATCCTTGGTGGAAAAGTCACAGTAGGAAAACTTGTTTCCATATCTTCCCTTCCTTCTATTGGAAATGATATTGAAAACAAAAATTACCCCAGACAGAGTTGGATTTTAGTTTGGATGACTTTGCACAAATCTCAAAAGCTCCTAAGATTCTTGCAATTTACTTGATAAACGTATTTCCACAAAATATTTGTTAAAAGCCAGCAGACACTGGGGAGAGAGTATGTGATCCCCACCCACCAGACAATCTGATTCATATCCATGTGTTCCTTGCTGAGAAACAGGACAAAGATAAGCATCATTTAACTGTGCATCTTCTGGGATGAAGCACTGTTACAGGTTTTCAAAAACTGCTTATCTCATTTCATACCCCCTGCCGAATGCATGACTGACCATCACCCCCAAAGAGCCAACTGCCACGCAGTTAGGTCTGGGATAGGGTGATCCCAAAGCCTTCCACCTGCCATTACACTGCTGCTGCTCAGAGTGAGGTCTGGCAGCTGTGTCAGCAACACCTGGGAGCCCATGAGAAATGCAGAGTCTTAGGCCTGGCCCAGACCCACCCCTGCCGAGGTGTAGTGAACACCATCTCCAGGAGTTACTCTGTGCAGCAGAGTGTGAGGCTCACTGCCCCATACCACCCTCCTTCCCTTCCTGACGTTCCCATAGCGGGACTGGTATCTTTTTTTTTTTTTTTAAAGATTTTATTTGTTTATTCATGAGAGACACACACAGAGAGGCAGAGACACAGGCAGAGGGAGAAGCAGGCTCCATGCAAGAAACCTGATGTGGGACTCGATCCCAGGTCTCCAGGATCAGGTCCTGGGCCAAAAGCAGCACTAAACTGCTGAGCCACCTGGGCTGCCCAGGACTGGTATCTTTTAATAAAAATCTCAAGCATGAAGGAGGATTTTAGAAGAAAGGTTGAGCTTACTGCATCAGGCAAAGGAAAATCTAATAGTTATGTTTGCTAAGGACTATTCCTAATTAAATGTTCATGGTCTTATGCTCCAGTGCTGTCTGCAACAGGCCAGAGTAAACTTTGATCCCTGCGAGGATGGATGGCTGCTCCCTGTCTCTTCCTTCTTCAAATCACTGGTGGAGTATGTGTGGGATCCAGGGTCAGCTTTGGAACCTCGAGCCTGAAAAGGCGGATAGAATGAGTCCAGACTTGAATACACATTGCTTAAATACCACGGCGGTGGACAGAATGCTCTTAAAGTCCTGACACACTTACTAGCTTTCCTGAACTTGGAAGTTTCACTTCTGAGAAAAGGTAGGATTGCATCAACTGGGAGCACCAGTGGATAACTCTGGGCCTTCAGACACTGACATGAAGGAGCGGGACTGGTGAGCAGTGGGGGCCCCACTAGGGTCACCTCCTATCCCACCACCCCAAGGAGTGCCTGTTTCCATCCAGAGCTTATTATCCATACAGTTCTCGGTGGGCAGGAGCGTCAGAAGAGCTTCCTTTTCCAGGGACGGATAAAGAGAAGTGTTTCCAAGGATAAAACCTGCTTCACTGCACATCAGGATTTTAAATTTACAGTACAGTATTTTCCTGGTAAAATAAGAATAGACCTTTCATGACTTACTGGCCAACATGTGAATAGTAGGAAATCCCTTCTCTTTCTGAAGTTTGCTCTTCCTGTCTTGCCTTTTATGGGCAGTGGGTCCCAGCAGACACCCCATATCCTCTCCAGTCCCCTGGGCAGCCCCTCCCTTCCTCGGCTTTTGGCAGTGGATTCCAGGCCTTCTTGGCCCTCCAGAGGCTGCCCTTCTTGGTGACCCTATGGGGATTCCAGCCCAAGTCCCAGCTCGTTAGAAAATACATAAAAATGGCCCAGAAGCTGGGAAGGACTACTTTTTAGGATCCAAAAAAACCAATTCTTTCACTAAAACTTGGAATCTACT